AGAAGCAAGATTTGAACCAGGGATCTTTTCGCTTAGAGCACCAGCCTCTTAGCCACTAGGCTACATCACCTGCCCATTACAGGCATAATTGCACTCTTCTTTTTGCAGAGCAGATCCTTGCTCATTGAACAAAGATTTAATGGGCTCCAAGTAGCTACTTGAGGAAAATGTGGAATAGATGATAGACAAAAGCCCAGCTGCTCAGAATATATGGGAAATTGCCTTGAGACATTAAATCAGCCGACAGGATCTCTGTGCCTTTGTAGAGGATTGGTATGTAGTGCAAATGTCATGTCATGTTTGTTTCTCATCTCATGAGCATCACCCAGAAGAAGCGACCAACAGCACTGTCCCACAAAAGATAAAACTGAGGGCGTGCTTTGCTCAAACAAACAGGAAAGCCCCAAGAAAATGTATTTAGTATTAAGGTGCCAGACTGACCTTCCAGTTTCTAAAAGTGCTTCAAGTCAGGCAGTCAGAGACTACTGAACCAGTATGAAGGACTTCACTTCAATGCAGCTCAATAAAAGTAAACTCTATAATGCTGAACAAGCTTACTTGTGTCTTGTGGGCTTTACAGATGGTCACTATGAAGGACAGGAAAGGTTCCAGGTGAGCAGAAAAGTGCAGATACAGGCTTAAATTTAAAAATTGGACTCTGGGATATTGCAGGCTTCTGTACATAATTTCAGCACTGACACTTTTAAAAGAAGTGACTATAGTTTGCATAGAATCTCTGCATGGAAAGTGTCTCTCCATCTAGCCTAAGGTTACCAGATTTTTTTCAATAAATCCGGGGACACTTTTCAACTTCCTACTAAATAGATGGATTTTGTCAGGGGACTGATTTATAAATCTGGGGGCCGTCCCTGGGAAATGGGGACATCTGGTAACCTTAATCTAGCCCAGGCTTCCTCAAACTCAGCCCTCCAGATGTTTTTGGCCTACAACTCTCATGGTTCCTAGCTAGCAGGACCAGTGGTCAGGGATGAAGGGAATTGTAGTCTCAAAACACCTGGAGGGCCGAGTTTGAGGAACCCTGATCTAGCCCAACATAGTTCATTCTCCAGGGTCTCAGAATGAGGTTGCTCCCATTCATTTGCCTGTTACCTGGCCTTTATTTTTAAATTGGAGATGTTAGGGATTTCATTTGAGACCTTCTACAGGCAAAGCATACACTCTTCCACTGATGTAGCGTGAAATCTGACAGCCAAGCACAGATGATGTCAAATGAACCCAGTTAACAACGTTAACTTCTATTAGGTCTGCAGAAAACATCACAGACAACTTTAGTAAGGCTCTCATTGCACGGTCCCGCTTTGTGTTACTGTCACAAAGTGCAGAAACATAGTTCGAAAAAACTACCATTGCTATATGCAACCGATTTCCCCCATTCCAAACGGCCAAAATCAATCCATTAAAACCCACAGTCCGAATATGTTTATTAATAAGTAATTTAGGGTTCAGTTGGAGGGAGACCTGAAAGGACATCTAGTGAATAACAAAGTGACCATGATTCAGCAGTGTAGAACTGTTGCAACAATTGCCACATTTGTGCTGGCTTGGTAAAGAGAAAGAAATGTATCCTAGACGCAGAAAGCAACAGTACTGTTCTATTCCCGCACTCTATGTTATTTCTAATTTGCACACTTTAATAAAGGAGGTTCAGAAAAGAAGAGGAACAAAACTGATAAGAGAGGTGCCCAGAAAACATGGCTTGGGAACCAGTGAATCTGAATGAAAATAGTTGAGAAATACTCACTGGATTTATTTTTATTATTAGAATCTGCTTAGAAGCATTTTTATCCTATTCTTCAACTGAAAAGGCTTCCAGAGCAGTTTACAGATTATTTTTTTTAACAACCCCCACACAAACACATCCTTTATCTATAATGGTTGATGTGGAGCAGCACAATGTTTTACACAGAGCTAATCCAGCACCACTACCCCGTGGAAAAGGTACCCTGTTCTGCATGACTTATGAAACAGATACTGACATCACAATTACTATGCTCTGTGAGAAAGTAGAGAAACACACGCACTGTATATGCCTTGGACAAATCTAAAACCTCCCCCAGCTCTCACAAAGGGGAGGAAGTAGTGGGTTCTAAAGCACGAATAGGGAACCTGTTGCTCTCCAGATGTTGCTGGTCTACATTGGAAGGCCCAGAGGTTCCCCACCACTTTGCTAAAGAAAATAAAAGCGTTATAACAAGTTAAGGAGAGCTATGGCTCCTGGAACAACAGCCCACCACTATAGCAAAGGACCTGCACATGGGTATCCTACTTTTCTGCCCCTGGGAAAAAAGGGGAGGAGAAATCATGAAGACCTTGAGATCGTCTCAGATACATTAATAAATCAACATGCTCTCCACTGACGTTTGTGCTTGAGCATTAGTGCTTGAGCAGATTTGAAGCTGAATGCTTCAAAGAGCTTCAAGCACGGATCCCAGGGCCCCTGAGTGAAAAGGATGTATGGGGGAAAAAAGGAACTGGTTTGAAATAGCCAAGTGGGGCAGTGGGAATAGAAAGGGGGTCGGAAACGAGGGGGCGGGGGAGGATTTTTGAATGGCTATTTACAACTTAGAACAAAGAGGAAAGAGTTGCTCTGGCTGTTTACTCAGAATATGGGTGAAGTATTGCTTTGAAACTACAAGTAGGCAAATTTAGGGTTCAGAGTTGTGTCAGGAGGGGTACTGGATCTCTTTCAGCTAGGACTGCAACTCATAGGCTGTGATGACTGAGAAAGACAAGTCAAACAGGAATTTACTTGAACTTGGGTAAGACTTAAGTGAGAGGAAGTGCTAGCCAAGCCTTTTTAGCTACAAGGGCAAGTGGGCAGTAGGACAAGTTGCCCAAGGTGGGGGAGTCTCCTTTGTTTGGCTGTAGACTAACTGTGCATGTGACACATCATAGAGGTGACTTATAGATGACTCAGGAACATCTTGCTGTGGCTGAGGCATCTTTCCGATTAGTCACAAGGGCTCCCAGTGCTATTTGCTGATGGCTGGGGGCACAGACTAGGAGAGAGCGAGCATTTCATTTAAACCAACCTTCCAGAGACAGAACACATAATTTATTCACTTCTTTGCCTCTCCGGTGCCAAACTATCTGCAGTTGCCAAATGGAATGAGGGCCACACTGTCCAAGAAAAGCACCTAGCCCCAAACCAGCTGAATATGCACCTAAGGGCAGCAGAGAATTCAAGTTTTTCCAGCAGCAAAGCTGCCCCAGGGCCTTCAGTAGCACTGCTTGCAGCCCAGGAGGCATTTTCCAAGGCATAATTAAGAAGTGTAAGGCTGGTGATGCTTCAAGACCTGAAGCTAGAAGGGAGGCAATTTACAAAACGCACCAAATTAGTGCAGCAACAGGAAGAAGGGAGAATTTCAGCTGCCGCAACTTTGTCTTTGGACCTCAGTACCGGGAGAGGTAGACTGTGCCAAAATAATCATTTCTACACAACTGTTAAACCCCACAATGCGCAACCTGTATACAGTACAGCATAACCCACAACATTATGTGCAACTTGCATTCATGATTTCTTATTTTCTTTGGATAATAAATTCCTCCTAGCAAGCAGACTATGAATGATTGTGGTGACTGCTGGATATTTTAAATTGCACTTTCAGTCTGAAATTCTATTTAATTGTATCAATTTTTAATTATTTTTTGTTCTGTGATGTAAATCACCTTGAGACATGCTGCAGAAGACAATAAATAAAGTCAGATTGTAAACAACAAATCATTATGGTTGTTATATGTAGGTTCTATTTACTCATTTATTTATTGCATTTCTATCCCACCTTTTCCTCCAAGGAGCTCAAGGTGGTCTACATGGTCCCCCCCCATTTAATTTCCACTAAAACTCTGTGAGGTGGAGTTTAGGCTGAGAGATTGTGACTGGTCCAAGGTGAATTTAATTGCTGAGTGGGGATTTGAACCCTGGACTCCCAGGTCCTAGTCCAACATTCTAACCACTGTGCCACACTGGTTCTGTCACTTGCATGCAGACAAATAACGCAAATTCAATGCAGACATCTCTGGCTCATAAAATATTTTTGGTATGGCCTTCAGGGCTCAGCAAGTTGATCTCCTCTGGGATAAAAGAGAAAACATTAAGTAGAAAAAAAAGCAGCAGCATTTAGTGGGTCAAATGTCTACCCAGGTTACAACAGCTTTCTAGGCTATACTTTGTTTCAATTCAGTTTCTTCTCATCTGTTGTGACTGTGAACATGTGTAGGTGTGCATGCATACACAGGCACACAATCTTGTTTTAAAATTATATCTGCTTCCTTATTAAAATCATTTATGTCCTGCTCTTCATCCCTAAAGAGATCAGAGAGGCATACAATTAAAAGCTGTGTGTGCTTGTGTGTGTGTGTGTGTGTGTGAATGAGAGAGAGAGAGAGAGAGAGAGAGAGAGAGAGAGAGAGAGAGAGATTGCCTTGCCCCATAAATGCCAACCCGACTGCTTTGGTCCACAGAAATAGCACTCTTAGAGGGGCCACATAATACTTGTTCTGCATCTGCATGTGAAAGGACTCTATCTTTTATTGTGCCAGTAAAGGTAAAGGTAAAGGGACTCCTATTGACATTAGGGGTCCTAGCAGGGGATGTCTGGAGAGAAGCCATTTCCTCTTCCTCTCCTCCATACCCTAAAGCCTCCCTCCCACCTTCACAATTTGCTCCAGAGGGATGAGAGACTCTTTGGAGATTAAAGGGGGAGGAACAGGGGAGAGAAGACGAAGTGGAAGCACAGTTGCAGGAGGAGAGCTCTTTTTGCAAAGTGTGGGGTGCAATCTATACATCACAACTTATATGTTTTAATGACCATGGGCAGGTCAGCTTGCTTCTGCAATTCCACTCTCCTCTGGCACGTTCATTTTGCCCAGCAACCTTAAACCAAATCAGAGCATTGGTCAGTCTAGCTCAGTATTGATTCTACACTAACTGGCAGTGGTTTCCCAAGGTTTTAGGCAGGAGATATTCCCAGCCCACCTGGAGATGCTGGGGATTGAACCTGGGACCATCTGCATGCAAAACAGGCGTTCTACCACTGAGCTATGGCCCTTCCGAAAAAGAGAGAGAAAAGAACTGTAGTCCTCCCCTTGATATCCAGTCTTGAGTCCCATTTTCTCAACACATATAAAATACCACACTTCCCAGAAAAGGGTTTCCCAGCACTCTGTTCTCGTGGTGGCTGACCAGATTCCTGTGGGAAGCCTGCAAGTTGGACATAAGCGCAACAGCACTCTGTGATTCCCAGCAACTGGTATTCAGATGCATAATGAAAACATCAGAAATCATAAAACTACTTGATAATTTCTGTGTTTGGAAACGTCCGCTTTGCTGCAGCTCAATAAAATATCTTAAGACAAACAAGCTTAATTTCCACTCATCTCTTCGGTTCAAGCCAGCAAAAGCTGGATAATTTTGAGCATAGCCCCTCCAGATAATTCTGAAGAGCTACACAAAAGCTGAATTGCCAATATAAGCACCACAGCTTATGATGCTTGCTATTCAGTCGCTGATGGGAGCCTGTGACCATCTGAGTGGTTCGGGGCATGACTGTGCATGCTACATGCATGCTTTGAAAGGCTACTTCATGGGGCTGGTGGCGGCTGCTGATGTGGTAAGGTGACTCAAGGGGAGTCTGGGTTCCTGCTGCAAGCGGAGGAGCATCTTTCCCCCGAGTCCTTCCAGTTATACATCAAACTGATAGATATGCCGGAGGGGAAAGCAAAGAGGTGACCACAATGATCCCACTGTTCTGCATTCTGCACACTGGAGGATACAAGAGGAGCCAAGTGGGAAGGTGAGGTGAAGGAGTGAAGCCAATGGGATAATGCTGCTGACTGACATAGCTATGAACACAGTCAAGCAGTCGCATTGTGAAAATACTGTCTGGCTTCCCCAACTTGGTGCCCTCCAGGTGCTGGTGGACTACAACTCCTACCAGAAGCAGCACACATGCCAATGTTCAGGGCTGATAGGAGATTTTAATTTTATTTTTAGAGTTGGTAAATTCAGGATTGGAATCAGAATATTTAATATAAAAGTAAACTACCACTAGCACTTCACCTTTTTCCTCTTCACCCTGAAAGTCCCCCAAATCTGCTCTGGTCCAGAGGGTCCTCCAGATTTTGTGGGTGAGGCAGCTGCAGGGGCAAGAAGAGGAATAGGACGTCCCACTGTGCAAGTCTGTTCTGCTCATGAATGGATAGCATTGGATATAAGTGACTGGGATAGAAATATTGGGAAGTAATCTAGGAAGCAAAATGGTGTCCCTCAGTGAAAACTATAGTGGTAATATATTATAGTTGAAATAATTACAGAGCTGTTTAGCTACATGTAAAATTAATTAGTATTCATAATTGTGCAGACCCTATGGATGAACATGAATAATTTATTTGCCTAAACATGGAGCTGCATTGATAATTGTTATAACTCTTTTGGAAAGGTCTTGATTAATTGAAATAAAAGTTACATATATGATATATTTAATTTTAGCGGAGAGGGGAGGAACCCAAAACTATGTGGAATGCTCTGTTTTCATGCTCCAGTAGCTATAGATACATATGTAAGTTCATTTTTTATGTCATAAAATCTATTTGATTATATAATATGACACTTAGACAAGTATACTGACATGTATGCATGCGAAGGCACTAAACGCATGACTACTTCCTCATATTCATTTGCGCTTTGCTTGCAAAAAAATTGTTTATGCTATCATCATTTTATAGAACAAGATTTCAGCTGGTCATCTGTATTTCTGTATTTAAGATCCTGTAAAATAACAACACACACACCAAAAAACTGCATTGTATGCACATGTCCATACTCTGGGGACACGTAATCAGCCACATATTTATGAACAGGTCACTAGGGAGATTCAAGGATAAATGGTGATTATTGGCAGTCATTAAGAAGCAAATCTAGGATGGAATGCCATATAACGCATTCTTCTGCTTACATGGAAGCTCCACCACAAGCTCCATTAGTAATTCATCAAAGCTAGAGAGCTACAACAAAACAGCATATTGAATCTTCTTTTCCCTTTGTTGCAGTAATATAGCAGTTGTAGAATCAGACACACTACTTCTATAGGCCAATCCTAGATATGAGTATACTCAAGGTCCCCCTTACTCATGGGCTTAGCACCAACTCTTTCACCACACAGATTGCTCAGGTCTGCTATGCAAAGGTCCTTATTCTATGCGTCTTAATTCCATGGCATCCTTTGCAGCTAAGAAGACCAACCGTACAAGTTTTGCTTAACCTGCTCTTTGCATCATAAAATAAAAATTACATTGAGTGGAATACATATTCTATTTTTTTTAAAAGGGGTCACCATTAATTTCTAAAACAAATTCTAATTACAAATGAGTTCTGCTCATCTCAGATGTAAACACTAATAAAAATTACGAATGAATTAGTTCTGAGTGAGACAAAAACGTTTGGAATCCATTCATTTTAATTGTAGCTCTGGGACAGCCTGAACAGGTCACATAACAGCTATAGGGGAAGCGGAAGAATGAGAAAGAGAGAAAATGCACAAGCATGAAGGCAGAGCCCAGAAACAGCCAGTCAGAGAATAACTTATAAGAAGAAAAGTATTTCATGGGGCATCTTTGTGCCAGGGATGGTTTGGGCTGTCCAGCCTGCAGATAGTACTCTGCATGATGCTTGATAATACCGTCTAGCAGGCAGGAAGATTCCAACAACCTTCCCCCAACCTGGTGCCCTCCAAATGTTTTGGCCTGCAACTTCCATTAGCCGTGGGCAGTATGGCTGTGCTACTAGAGGCTGATGGGACTTGTAGCCTGAAACATCTGGAACATATCAGAGTTTGGAGTGTTACGTTTTCTGCTGAAAAATTTAGTAAAGTTGCGCCCTCTCATTTTTCATTGCCAAGGCAATCCCAAAGCACAGGGATGAGGTATCTCCAGACTAAAGACCTAAAAGGTAAAGGTAAAGGACCCCTAACAGTTAAGACCAGTCGTGAATGACTCTGGGGTTGTGGCGCTCATCTCGCTTTACTGGCCAAGGAAGCCGACTTTGTCCACAGACAGTTTTTCTGGGTCATGTGGCCAGCATGACTAAGCCGCTTCTGGTGAACCAGAGCAGCACACGGAAACGCCGTTTACCTTCCCGCCAGAGCGGTACCTATTTATCTACTTGCACTTTGACGTGCTTTCGAACTGCTAGGTTAGCAGGAGCTGGCACTGAGCAATGGGAGCTCACCCCATCGTGGGGATTTGAACTGCCGACCTTCCGATCGGCAAGTCCTAGGCCCAGTGGTTAAGACCACAGCGCCACCCATATCCCACAGCGCTACCCACATCCCACAGCACTAATTAGGTCTAATTCTGGCCAAACCAAAACATATATGACATCAAGTGTGAGGCAGGAAAAGGTGAGACCTGGGTAGAAGAGGCATTGTAAGCATCACCAATAAGCTGTCTGCAAAACCCCTTATGCAGCACTTCTCAAGCACCAACGATCAGCTGATTGTGAGTGCTTGGGAAGCACTGCACACACTTTTTTTGCTCACATGGACTGATTTTGAACTGCATGAGGCTTACATTATCACAATTCCAGGTGAATGGCAGGTGGGTGGCCCCACTCACTTGCCAAATCTAGTGCATATGTTGGGGGCACAGCGCATAGACGGGTGGTTGCGCGTGCACAGAGATGAGGTTCTGACCTGCCAGTGAGATCCAGTTCCCAACTCCTGCCATATTAGGTTGCATCAAAGTAAATACAAAATGCAAATTAAAAACAATTCTGCAGACTCCTCTGGATGCCTGGGCAAATAAGTGAGCCTTCAGCTAGCTGGCACTGAAAACGTAACAGAGCCACTGCCAGTCATCTCTCTCTTGACAAACAAATGCTAAAGCTGAGAATTCCAATCTTAGAAAAATAAACACAGCACTCACAATATTGGCTCTCGTGACTACATGTGTTACAATGCAACATACTGGGCTGTAGCAGTGATCATGGGTACTTTTCTACATCTAGTGTGAAGGCTGCAACTTTACCAAGATAGGAGATTACATCAACTTCAAAATATGGTTGAATATTCTGGTTTGGTCCAAAGCTGGTAACAATATTTCAGCTTTGGTTACCTAGAGGCTTCCTGGTTTAATTGTAGCTTGTGCAAAGGGGAAAGTAAAAGACCACCTGAATGGGCAAAAAGGCTCATACACTTCTCAGCTTTGAAAGCTGAAATATCATGCCCAAACATGGCCATACAGTCCTTCCTGCCAAAACTGGTGAATGTGAGCAAAACCACCCCACTACCCCATGAAAATGCTGACCCTTAACTTTCTGAACAAATGAAATATCCAAATATGGATCACTGGAAGATCCCTCCACTGTGAAAACTACTAATTTATTTCTACCATTTACTACATGTTTATTAGTCAACTCGTAAAAGCACTTGTCCCTTTGCCCCATGACTTTGGTAAAAACAGATTTAATAGGAGTGGAATGGACTCTTATAGCATGCCTTTCTGGCAGTGGTTCAAGTCTCACTTCCTCCTTGCGTTGCAACTGAAATAACAGTCAGTCATACCAACAAGTCAAACTCCGATTCAGTCTTTCATCCTCCGCATTTTAGGCAGCCCCCCATCTTTTAAATATGTTAAAGAATGGCATATACATTTATTAACTGAAATGTTCATCTATCACATTTTTTTAATCATAAAAAACACAGTGTTTAACAATAATTGTATAACTGCTTCAGAATGTCACAGGCACTAGCCAATTAGCACAGTACATTTTAAGCTTTTGCTGCAAGCGCAGAGCTGATGCTTTCAAAATCCAGCTTTAAGGTGGAAATACATGTTTGGAATAAATGTGATGAAGGAGATTCTAGTTGGCTCTGCTGCCCTAAAAATGCTGCATCTGTCTTTACACTTAGGCCAAACACTTACCAGAGATGGGGAACCTGTGTCCCATCCGCACATCTCAATGTTGCTGGATTACAACAACACCATCCCTGACCATTGGCCATGCTGGCTGGGACTGATGGATGTTGGGAGTCCAACAACATCTGGAGGGCCACAGGTTCGCATTACTGCCTTTTTGGAAGCCTAACAATTGCACAATTGCCCCATGACAATAAATCCAACCCCCTTCTCATAGTATTGATGTAAACACTGGAGACTTGATGCAAAAGATCCACTCATTCTTTGCCAATTTGTGCCTGTCATTTCTCTGCTTTGAGCTATTGGGGGGTGGCGTGCCAGTTGAACATACACATGAATTCACACATGGATTTACTCATGGGCATTCCCCAGTAATGTGGAAAAGCTCCCCTGAGTGTGTGAAGGTACGCTTTGATGTGTGAGGGTAGTGCCAGGATGGCCCAACAGGGGCTTTTAAAGAGAGCAGCCCAGCTGAAGGTATTCCATTCACAGCGTCAGCAGCCAATTTCAGACTCCATGGGAATCACAGACACTTCCCTCTTTCTATTTAGGAGATTTCAGCTCCTATTACTTTTTGCTGATGCAGTGTTGCACACTCCTCTGCAATAACTGCAAAACCACTTCAAGCTACAGAGCTACAGTATGACAAATCAGGCCAAGCTGTCATCTGAAAGAATTGCCAAGAGAGAGAAGCATTGCAAAGACTTCACAGTCAGCTCAGAGAAGCAGATTCTGACAACCAATAGTTGCCCCCCTGCCCCCCACTACACACAAGGGCACATGTATTTGTCCCTGAAGGTTTGTGCTTGCTGCAATGCGTAACATGCAGCAGGAGTTTAATATGTGCTAAACACCTGAATGATACATAATAGATCTGAAAGTGGAGCACTGTGCTCCTTAATACTGAATAATAGGTGTCAGAAGGCTGCACTCTCTCCCAACCCCACCATGAGGGCCTTCCCAGGCTGTTATGATTTAGTGCAAGCAAATGCAAATTTCACAACTAGATTAAATTCTGTGCCATAGAAGTACTAGCATAATTAATGAAGTTAAATTCATTGCCTTGCTTGACATTCAGAATTTTTGACACATACTAAGTTTAAAGTTAGGGTGGAAAATTGCACTGGGACAATGCAGTTACCTAGGGAGAGATTTCAGGGGAAGAGGAAAGAGACTGGACACCTGGGAAACAGGAAGGAAATTAATCACAAACCAGTGCTTACTAGAGCCTTGGATGGGTGGAATTCCTTGGGAGTTACTTTATACATAATGTTGAGCTTCAGTACTTAATATTTTACAATTGCTGTATTCTTGGGAGCCCTCCTGTGCCATTTACCTGGTCCTTTGGGAGAGGTTGAGGGTGGAGTAGAACTTCAAATAGGCCAAGCACTTAAATATACCTCAGCAGAACCAACCACCACCAGTGCCCCTGCAACCATGCAGTACCACTATCTGAACCCAACCACAGTGTTAGGATAAGTGTTACCAAAGCATGATGCTTCCAATCTCCATCCATGAAAGATGGTCCAGAACGTTACTAGTATGCTACAGAGAGATCTAGAACATAAGAGGATCTCACTCCTTCAACGCATCCCTCCACATATGTGATCCAGCAGAGGGACCAATAGGGTTTACATACGAAATCCAGACTGAGAGTCAGATTGATAAGAATAATGATGTTTGGAATCCCTCAGGCAGACCCGGAGCTAAGGCACTAACACATACACTTTTGCCTTGCCCAAGAAAGGCAAGTTGGACACTGAAAGTTATTTAGCCTTGTACCCTTGTTAGTGGGAGTAACAACTAAAGTAGACTTTTACATGGCATATTTCGTATTAAAAAACTTACCTACTGACCCAGATAAGTAAGAAATGGGTGGACTGCAATACCACCAGTCCTCTTTATAATTGGGGTGAGTGATGGATGAGAGAGTCTCTGTAGTAGGTATATGATTGCCCTAATAAGACATGGGGCCTGGTTAGCTCAAGCCCTCTAGGAGATGCCCAAGCCTGCAATCCTAGCTCCACTTAACTGGGAGTAATTGCCACTGAATTGAACAGGACATACTTCTGAATAGGCATAGTTAGGAGTACTGTGCTACAATTACTAGTCATCTGGCTTCACATTGTTAGCGGCCCTAGCAAGGTTGCCGTTGATGAGCTCTCACCCCCAAGTACCCACCACCTCTTGGGCCCTCCAGTGGGATTGAATTCAACAGGTCTTTTAATGGTTCCATTAATGACTCTGACTAGTCTCTGGAATCAGGAGACCCTTTCTGGCACTTGACAGAATTGTACTAGATTCCCCTTCTTCCTATTTAGAGCTTGTTCAGCACCTCGGTTGGAGAGTTTCTTTCATTGGCTGATGGCACCATACATTCATGCTAACATACATCAGAAGCATTCACCACTGCATTGGCACAGAAACAGCAGTTGTGAATGATTGAGGCCTGCTGCATTCTGACTTGTCCGGGAAAAGAGTGGAGCACTCAGCAGCCTGCTGTGAGCAGATTGCTGATAAAGCTGCTTGCATCTATTCCAGCTTGGACTCCACAACTGGAGACCTTATGCAGACTGGTTCTGGATACCTTTCAGTTCATGCAATCCGAGGATATGGACAGGATGCTCAGAAGATGGCACTTTCCCCCTTGACCCTTTTGCTTCCCAGTAAATGAGAGCTGCAGTGGGGGACTGACAACTTGGGTGGTGAAGACTGTGAATGCATCCTGGAACCTTTTGTTGGGGAAACTGTACAATCCTTCTTGGAAAAATCCCTTCTTGGATCTTTCTAGCCTGTTGTCCAGAACCTGAGCTCTACAGGAATTCATCAAAGGAAACAAATGCCTCCAGAAACCATTCCACAGATTAAAGCTGGGTTGCATTTACTGAGTTATTTAAGCAAGCGTGTATCCCCAAGCGGCTGAGATGGATCAGTCCAAAGATGAGCTCATGATGGCTGGTCATGATCTCTGAACAGACTCCAAGTCACCTCATTTTCCCTAACTTTTGAATTCCTTATATACACTTTATTTTCCCACCTGTGGGTTAACAGAAAATGTGGGAAAGAATGAGGTTCCACAACTTATTGCATTTTCCTTTAAAAAAAAAAAAAATAGAAACATACATAGTTTGTATTTAAAGATTTGCTGATCAGTCACGACTCCACTGATAAAGCAAAATCCTCTTGTCTTCCCACCCTGATTAACCTTATCAATAACAGTTTAGAACACCTAAAATATCCTTTCTTCAGCAGACAGCAAAAACTGGTGTGTGTGATGCAACCTCCAAGTTTGATTAAACAGCAGATGTTGACAGAAGATTTCATTAAATCCTTTGGCAAGTAAAACCAGAAACTTCTGGTTAAAGGGGTCACAGAAGTTTTGTAGCAATATAAACCACATCCACAGCCCTATATCCCACTTTTCTCCCTGTCCTGTCCTGTCCTGCCCCGCCCCCTCTCTCCCCCCACCCCAAAATGGCAAGAGTAGGACAGCAGGGACCCACACAACTGACAAGGCTCACTGGAGCTGATGCCTTGCCTGCCCTGCAAAGTGTTTGCTGCCGCTTGGCTGCTCCATTCACCAGCCTCCTCCTCAAACTCACTCACAGGCTTGCTGAGCAGCTACTTGACTCCACTGCAATGTCACTGCTGCTGTGAGCCCACTTGAGAGAGGGAGTCTGGCAGCTGCCCTACCCCTGCATGCAAGTTCATTCCCTGCTTGTGTGTGCTGGAGAGCCACACAAATCCCTAAGCCCAGGGGCGTCCAACTTCCAAGAGACTGCGATCTACTACCACTATAAATAAAGTAATAAAGTGGTCTATCCATTGGATTGACCAGAGTTGTTGAGCTTTTTTTGGTCGATCGCTGAAGATCTCAGGATCAACCAGGGACAGCCTGTGATCGACCGGTTGGACAGGTCGGCCCTAGCCCATGCCATTGCTGCCACCCTGCTGCAAGATGGGAATTCCCCCATCCATCCAGGCAGTCTTCCCCAAAGTGTGGTACATGTACCCCTGGGGGTATGGGAAACTCCGTGATCAACTCCCCACCGGAAATCAATGTCCCCACTGTGGAAGGACGTATGGATCCAGAACTGGCCTCCATAGTCACTTATGGACTCATTGTTAAAACCGTGTTTATGGAAGACAATATTACTCGGCTATGAGCGATTGCCGAAGAAGAAGAAGAAGAAGAAGAAGAAGAAGAAGAAGAAGAAGAAGAAAGGAAAGGGTTTCAAAGGGCACACAGCATACTTTTTTATTTTACTTTATTGCAGGGGGTTTTTTTTAGCTGCAGAAAACAATTCAAAGATAAAATAATATTATTAAAACTACCCCCAAAATTATCTTCGCCCACGAAGGGGATATGCCGGTAAAACTCTCAAAAGAGATGCATGATTATTCTAAGTTTGGGAAACACTGTGTCCAGAGATGCTTTAAGCATTATCTTACTAGGTAATCTGCCCTACCTGCAATGAAATATATCTGTCCCATATTGGTCTCTACAGCTATAGCAGGCACTGTAACTCTCCAATGGTTTGGCTTTAACCCTGAAGGCACACTCTTCCATTGTCTCCCAACCAATACACCCTCTTAAACAGCACTGAGGTTTCAATTTTTTGTTTTCAATAGGCCATGTAGTCTATGTCTTATAGGCTGTTACCTTAAAAACAGCCATGAATTATTGCACCTTTGGTTTCATGATGTAACAGGAATCTACTTTATTGCCTCAGCTACCTAGGAAAAAGAGCCAAACCTTTGAACCCCTTTTTGACTGACGTTATCTTCTAGTCCATGCCTTTGATCATCTCCTATCTGTAAGGAGACTACGACTGCAAACCTAAACACACTTACAAGAGAGTAACTCTCTGAAATACTGCAGCCTGTGTCAGAAAACATGATAAGGTTTGCGCTACACATGACTCTCTAGTAATGAAGACAGTAGCTGCATTTGCCATAGCAGTTTCAGAGATGAGGCAGGCATTGTTTGAAGGAGAGGATTAACAGCTTGGACTAATTGTGTGACCTTGGATAGGTCAGAATCTCCCTGCCTTAGGTCCATCCCTGTAACACTGACTTTCCTTCCATGCAACCAGAAGGGCAAACACAGCAACGCAAAAATATTATGCAAATGATAAACAGCATAGTAATTAATAACATCTCATCTATGGTTATCCATATTTTATATTTGCTTTTGTCCCCCCCCCCCAAAAAGTCCATAAAACATTTGCAAAAGTCTGTCACCAATTAAATTGGCATCTAAAGGAACTTTCTTTGTTGTGCACTTGGAGAATACATAACATGGCCCTATGCCTTCCCCAATAGCAACAGCATTTATTACTTGCTAGAACATGCAGCCTTTGAGCATCTGTGCAGCCAAAACATCTTTACCCTTTGATTTGAATGCCAGATTCAAACACAGCTGGAGATAGGCTTTATGCTATCTATCTATATAAAAACACCCTCTACATTCATTCCGCATTCCAAATGTTCAGATTGCCACACCAACAGTAAGGAAGCCATCTCCCATGGATATCATTAGATGTTGTTGACACATTGAGCTCCAGTAACACCCACACTAGCTGACCCTGCCTCAGAATGAGGCACTGTCATTAGGGTGGTGGAAATGGGGGTTTTGTATAATAACAACAATAATAATAGCAATAGGAAGATTCACTTCTCAGTCTCTTCCTTCCAATACACCTCCCTTTGCATTCAATCCAACTTTTTTATTTAAAATGAGGTGGGAGGGGGAATAAGAAGCAGGAGAACTAAGTTGATATAGCAGCAATTATTAATCTATTTTATATTAAACCTCATTTTGCATACACTGGTGGTTTAGACTTAGAATGGCTTGTAGCCTCCAGATGTTGCAAAGATGGTAACCACTGAAGTGCTATAATTGTGTCACATGAGAAGGTCTGGGAAAAGTTGTCCATCCTGCTTCCCTGCCATCCGTCATAGAAATAGACCACAATGTTTCCTTTAGCCCCGGGATGGGGAACCTGTGGTCCTCCAGATGTTGCAGGATTCCAACTCCCATCCGCGCCAGCTAGCATGGCCAATGGTAAGAGATGGTGGGATTGCAGCCCAGTAACATCTGGACATCACAGGCGAAAGAAAGGTATTTTGACTGCCTGGCTGCTCTCAGTTATCTTTGGGACTAGATCAAAGGAAAATCCCTGGAGAAGGCACAGCGCAATGGCAGGGTAGCATGGGAACAGCGAGGCAGGATAGGACATGGATTTGGTTTTGCATCCGCCTCCTTTTGGGCCTGGTTTCCCTGAGCATTTGGTGCATTTCTTTTCCTTTCTTTTTTAAAGCAACCTCCCTCAACCTGGTGCCGGTCAGATGTTTTGGACTACAACTCCCATCAACCATCACGTTGGGAGGAAAGCTGTTCTGAAGGCAGCAGGGGAATCTCCAGAGCAAAAGCAGCAGGAAAGAGAGAACTTAAAAGACACCACTCCTTATACACACACACATCTGGGAATAAGTCCCGTGAGTGGGGCTTAACTCCGAGCGGGCTTGTCTATAGGATACCGCACTGTTAAGTCCATTAAATGGCTTTCTCGGTTTTCCCTTCCCTACCGCACCTGACGCGGAAGGAAGGAAGGAAGGAAGGAAGGGGGAGAACTGACTGCAGCATCGCGGACCAACATCATCATCAGCACCACTATCGCGATCACACCACCAAGAGGGGAGACAGCAACAAAGAAACACGCAGCCTGCGCCCCCACACCCCGTCCCTCCTTTCACGCCATCCTGCCCAATGCACACAAAGCCTGATCGGGTCTTTAAAAAAAACCACACACACCCCAGCGAGATGGCCGCTTTGTCTGACGGCGAAGAAAAAGCATCTTGCCCTCCTTTCCTCCCTTCTTTGACATTGTGCGGGAGAATCCAGAGAACTGCGACGAAACGCAGCAGCTGGACCAGTTTCGAGAGGAGGGGCGCGCGCGGGATCGGCGGACGACTGTCATTGTGTCTGGGTGGGCAAGGGGGGGGGAAGGAGAGGTTTTTTTCTGGGAGGCGGAGGGAGGAGGGGAGCCTGCTAAGCGCCCCCCCCCCACCCCGAGCCTGCCGCAGGGCTCTGCAAAAGGGACACACGCCCAGCGAGCGGCAGACCTTGCCCGGCACCCTCTCGCCACCTCCCCTACCTTGGGCTCCGCTGCCATTGTTCCACCTCGAGGCAAGAGGGAGCAACGCAGCGCTCGCCCGCTCGCTCTCTCGCGAGTAAACAGATACCGCACTGGCAAGGTAGGTGGGAGGGAAAAGAAGGCGCCACCGGGAGCCGTCTCGCCCCGAAGGGCTCCGCCAAGGGGATGGCCAAGCCGTCCCGGGCGCCCTTGGAAACGGGGCTCCGGAGCTGTTATTGCTGCAGCCCGGCAGGAAAGAGAAGGAGGCGAGGAGGGAGCGCAGGGGCATTGCCAGGCACAGGCAGCAGCAGCCTCTTCCCCGGCGACTTACCTCACTTGTCAAAGGCAGAGCGGCTCCTCCGGGCTTTCTGCTCCCTCGCCCTCTCAGCGCGGGGCTCCCGCTGACGCCCCTCCGCCGAGGAAAAGGCGCCCCAACCTCCCCTCTCCTCCTGGACTCGCGCCTCCCAGCTCCGGCTTCTCGGCTTCGGGAATAAGCGGGGAGGGAGGGGGGAGGGAGGGAGCCGCGCAGGGAGGCGTGGCCTTTCGCCCGGCGCAGGCAGGAGACCGGGGAAAAGGGCGGGCGGAGAAAGCCAGGAGCCTCCCCTCCCTCCACCCGCCTCGCGCTGTGCGCACGCGCGCCTTCCCGGGTTTCTTGCCGGGCCCTGCCATGCGCGGCTGTGCTGCTTTGCGCCTGCGCGTTTGGAAGGGAGCCTGGGCCCGAGGAGCCTGTGAGTTTGAAGGGTGCTCGTGTGTGCGTCTTTCTTTGCCCTCCGGGGTCCTTCGGGTGCCCTGCGGCGCCCCGCAGCGCGGGAGTGGGAGGGGAGCCAGCGGCGGGGACGGGGCTCGCTTCTGCTTGCGGGGAAGAGGCTCCTAGGCCAGACCAGCCGCAGCCTCAACCTGTGCAGGCTTCCTCGGACGAAGGTCCCGGGGACTTCCGTGCATAGCAAGCGGGGCTGCACGGTCCCGCGCGTGCATTCTCGATAAATGCATTTCGGGTTGCATAATAGAGAAATGGGGTAGATAAATGTATTTGGGATTGCAGCCTTGATCCGGAAGAGCGCATGCCCTACGAAGCCGGTTCCCTTCGGGATGCCCGAAAAGCTCTTCCCTTACTAAGGCAGCATCATACTTTGTTCACAAATCAGGGCCTCTGTTTTCAGTAGGATTTACTCCCGTGCAGGTGGATTTGAAATTTCACGCTTTTCCATCATAAGGGCATTAGCAGCAGGATCCTCTGCCCATTTAACTGCGCGGGAAGTGTTTCCAGCTAGCACTGCTGAAGGCAATGCAGGCTTATTATAGTATTAAGACAGCCCCCATCTTAAATGGGTTACAAGCCCAGTCCTGGGCATGTTTACACTTGAGTTAAGCGGCACTTACTTTTTAGTTTGCATGCTTGACATTGCTACTTTATTTGAGAGTAAAGTGTCTGTCCTATGCACACTTTTCTTGGGAGTATGCCTGGTTGTATTTATTTCTGAGATGTAAACAATCAGGCAGAGCAACCTCCTTGGATCCAAAAGGATCTCGCATATGAGCATGGGTGTTTACAACTACTTATTTGCACATCGTTTTTAATTTGCAAGGTGGTGTGCTTTTTAAATTTACCCTACCCTTCTTCAAAGGAGCTCAGGGTGGCATTCATGTCCGACCTGTTTCCCTTCCCATTTTAGCCTCAACTCTGGGAAGTAGGTTACGGTAACAGATAGTGACTGGCCTGACACTTTAACAACTAATGTACTCCACATTTTAAGCAAAGCCACATAGCACTTCCAAAATAAAGGTCAGATTTGAACCCAGTCTCCAGGATTCAGCTCTTTCTGTACTGGGTAATGATTAAGACTGCGGCTTGAGGCCTCAGTTTGACTTACAGTTCTTTTGCAGCATACTTGTTTACCTACAGTGGTGCCCCGCAAGACGAATGCCTCGCAAGACGGAAAAACCGCTAGACGAAAGGGTTTTCCGTTTTGAAGTTGCTTCGCAGGACGAATTCCCCTATGGGCTTGCTTCGCAAGACGAAAATACCGTGCGAGTCTTGAGATTTTTTTTTCGCTTTTCCCCCCCTTTATCTAATCTGCTAAGCCTTTAATAGCCTTTAATAGCCTTTTAGCAGCTAATCCCCTAAGCCTTTAAGCCTTTAATAGCCGCTAAACCGCTAATAGCGCTAATAGCGCTAATCCGTCAATGGGCTTGCTTCGCAAGACGAAAAAACCGCTAGACGAAGACTCTCGTGGAACGGATTAATTTCGTCTTGCGAGGCACCACTGTACCTTGATCTTTATTCAGTACATATTAATGACTGTTGGAGACTTCCGTCTTGCTCATTTGTCTCCAGTATCTACTGTCAGAAACTTCTTGCTCTGTCCATGTGTGTCTTGTTTCAGTATTTTGGGACCAGTTTCTTAAATACAAAATCCCTGGTCAAATCTGATCTTTGAAATCATCACATTAATAGTGCTTGGGACTACACTGCAATGTGCTTTGGATCAATTAAAAGTGTGCTCCCAATTAACTGGGCATCAGATTTTTAAAAACCTTTTTTTAAAAAAAATGCAAGTATTTTCAAATCCATAGGTAGCAGGTGCATGTTTATAGGTCTTTTCACTTTTCCTCTTCTCACACAGGGGGAAATGTCTTTAGAGATGGTACCTGCTGTGACATGAGCATGCGTAATCTAAAAACAAAGGGAGAATGCTCTTTTCCCTTCAAAACTGTATCAACAGCACATTTACAATTCACTAATTCACTACAATTTCCCAATTTCTGCCTGGACACTGCTGCCAACTGCAGTATTCTGGATATGTCTGGGAAAATCCAAATGTATGGCAACCCTATCTAAACTAAGGCAGCACTGTCCAGTGCACGCGTATTTGGTGTGCAAGTATAACTCAGTGGGACGCAATTCCAAGGAAACATCCATAGGAACACACTGCTCAGGACACCAAAGCTGAATCAGCCGGTCTGTGGAAATGGTACAGATCTAGGTAATTGCAAAATGGAAGGGATCCAACTTGTTCTATAGATTTGTCATGTTGAAGAAAAAGGTCTGTTTCCTGAGAAGGGGACATCTGGAGTTACAGGCAGGATAAAGTGAAACAATGTATTTGAACAGCCATGGGGAAACTGTTACCTTATTCCATTTGCTATTCTCTCTCCCCCCGCCCCCCCCCCCGCCTCCCAACTCCAATGTTGTGGATCCTGGAACTCTTTATGAGAAAGTTGTTTGCGAGAGGGGAATAGTAACTGGCTACATGCTAAGTGAAACGGTGAGGTTGCGTTTTAAAAAGCCAGTTTGTGCACTATTATCTGCACTCATGTGAGGCATTTACTTGACCCACATTACATGAGAAGGAAGGTGCCTGAGTGCAGTCAAGGTTTTTCCATAAATGGGAATCCCCCCAATTATAGATAAAGATCTACAATCTCTTGCAAGCTGCATTTTTCTGTGTTCTGTTGCATGTGTATCTGCACTATTCACTATAAGAGGGCTTGAAAATGTTGCCTTTTTTCTGCTTCCAAACTGGCTTAGCCAATCATGATGGGGTCAGAGGTACTGTTGGAGTTTCTCACGGGAAAGGGAGACTGGATGTGACGTACACTGGTTTCCTGTTTTTTTCACTGTGTGATTCTCTCCAAGCTGTTGAGGAGAGAGGATGCATTTTTCTGCTCCTGCAGAGGCAAGATGTCTTTCTGTAATATACCAGCTTTGAACTGTAAATAAAGCAATATAGAGTATGTAACACATTTTCCTTCATCCTTCCGCTGGCCACGACAGACTCTGCTTTAAATCAACACGTGGTTATGGGGCTCCAGAGGTCGAATCGCAGTGCCGGCAGAGGATCGGAATGCAGAGGACGGATCGGAAAGGAATCTGCTCTGCGCGTAGAAGTGATTGATGAGGTATGTGCTACTGCTCCGGGCAGCCTGCCAGCTTCAAGATAATGGCTTTATGGCTGGACTTTGAACTTTTAAAGCCGGTTTTGCAAATAGGCAAAAGGCTCCCAGGCACAAGTCACTATGCTGGGGAAATCGAAAGTAACTTTTAAGTGTGCCTTTGTAATGAGGCAGCTGCAGCAGTGACGCAGCAAGATTTAAAGCAGCATATGACGCTGAAGGCTAATGCCAGAGTCATGATGGCCCTTCAGGATGCTTGTGGGATTCCTAAGCTCAACAAGAAAAATTACAGCGACTGGGTTCAGTATGCAGAGGCAATTCTATGGAAAGAGGGTTTGTTTGAGGTGATTACAGGAACCCCCAGTTCCAGTTACAGATGCATGGGAAGCTAAGGATTCCAAAGCAAGGGGAACTCTTACATTGATAGTATCCCCAGAAGAGCTCTGTCTATTGCGTGATAAGACCTCAGCCAGAGAAATTTGGGACGCTCTGAGAGAGGCTCACTTAAGGACAGAAGCTGGATCCACTATGTTTTACTTTAACAAGCTGCATAATATGGCTCTTGCTGAAGGTGGAGATGTGCGTTTACATCTGATGCAGATGCAAAATCTGAGACATGAGCTGCAACAGAGAGGACTCAACTTTCCAGAGGCTGTGTATTCTTTCATGATACTACAATCTTTGGGTTCAGGTTGGGAGTCTGTTGCAACCCAGATTGCTGTGCAACCAACTGCTCAGCTGACAGTGGACTTTGTTACTGCCGTGATTTTAAATGAAGCAGATCGCCGGGGTGCTGGCTGCATGGGCAAGGGGAGTCTTCACAGACGTCATCCCATAGTGCAGTGGAACCACCAGATGGCGCCAAAGCTTTGAAGGCAGTGAAATGCTACTCGTGTGGACGTCTAGGCCATATGAAGAGGGAATGCAGACATCCCAGGGCCAAGACAGAGCAGCGCAGCGAAAGCTCATCGCGCGGAAAAGGCCGAGGCAAAGGCAAAGGTCCGGTGTCTAGGACAACGCAGCACAAGGCTATGGTTTCACGCTTCACTCCAAAGGTTGCAGAGGTCCAGAAGACGTCTAGATCTTTCTTCGTTGTTGATTCAGCGGCCACCCACCACATGTGCAACGATAAGAAACTGTTTGTGTCTTTTACACCGCAGGAAGGTGCGATTCACCAGGCGGATGACCACACTATTCCCAGTAAAGGCTACGGAACTGTTGTTCTTCACAGTTTGGACTTATCGATACAGAATGTGCTTTACGTGCCAGACGCCAAACATAATCTGCTCAGCGTTGGACAGCTGAATGAGCGGAACATTGACGTTTCCTTCAAGAACAAGAAGTGCATCATCACAAAGAAAAATGATTATGTATTGCATGCAGAATATGTTGATCATTTGTTTGTTTTGTATTATGATGATGTGGTGCAGGATGACACTTGTTGCATTGCAGGTTCTAACAAAAGTTTGCATGCAGAATGTATTCACGATTTTCATCGCAAATTTGGTCATTTGCATTTTGAGGCAGTATCTAAAATGCCTGCCTTGGTTGAAGGTATGACTATTAAACCCTGCAGGTACCACATGAAGTGCAAAGCATGCGCAGCAAACAAGGTGAAAATGGCTGCGAAAGGTAAGGTGTCTAGTAGGAAAGCTACAGAACCATACCAGGTTGTTCATGCTGATTTGGTTGGACCACTATCGCCCTCTTTGGGTGGAAATAGATACTTCATGGTTCTCATTGATGCATTTTCTAGATATATTTTTGTGTACAATCTCAAGCAGAAATCGGAGGCTTTTCCTAGGTTCAAGGAATTCTGTGCTTGGTTGGAAAATGTGCATGGTAAGAAGATAAAGACTCTTTTCAGTGATCGCGGGGGAATTCACTTCTCAGCAGTTTGAAGCTTTTCTGACTGAGAAAGGAATTCAACACGATTTGTCTAGTCCTCGCTCGCCATGGCAGAATGGACTTGCGGAACGGGCAAATCAGACATTGCTTCAAGGATTAAAAACCTTGCTGCATGATGCCAATCTTCCAGAGAGTTATTGGGCCGAATCTCTCTCGTGTTTTGTTTACAGTTACAATCGCAGGTTATCTTCAGCGCTTGGTTGTACCCCCTAAGAGAAGATGTTTGGCAAGAAGCCATACATCAAACACATGAAGATTTTTGGTTCTGACATGTGGGTTCACTCACCACAAAACTCCAAGTTAGACAAGCGTGGATTGCATGGTATCTTTCTAGGTTATCAGAAAGGGTCTTACAGAATAATGATGACTGACTCTAAGACAATTAAGCTCACGAGAAGTGTTGAGTACAATGCAAAGTGGGGGAGAATGTGGGAATTTTCCAATGTTATCCTGATGACGGTGATGAGACTGAGGATAGTCAAAAGCAACCACAACAACCCACACCCACTGATGAAGGTTCTGAGTCTGAATCTGAAACTGAATCGGGTGATTCAGAGGATTTCAAGAGTGCGAAAGCCTCTATGCGACCCTCTGAAAGCTCTGATCAAGAATTGGAGGAACCATTGTTCACAATAGGTCGTTTTTCTCCTAAGAAGGAAGAGGAGAGTGTTGAAGACTTAAGGCTAATTCGTAGGTCACAGAGAGCTACAAAAGGCAAACCTCCAAAGAGATTTGCTGATGAGTTTGCTAAGATAGCAGTAACAGCTGTTAAAAGCTCCAAGAAGGTATTTGAACCTTCAAGTTTCCAAGAAATCCAGGGTTTGGATTCAAAGGAAGCTGAGCCATGGTTAAATGCCATGAAGGCTGAGCTTGATTCCTTAGAAAGGAACAAAACATGGGAGCTAGTTCCAGTAGTTCCAGGAATGAAACTGCTTGAAGCAAATGGGTCTTCAAAGCGAAGACAGATCAAAATGGCAAGATAGTCAGACACAAAGCCAGATTGGTAGCCAGAGGTTTTGCACAGGTACCAGGTGAAGACTATCACGAGACCTATTCACCCACAGTGAGATATGAAAGCATTAGGCTTATGCTTAAGCTAGCTGCAGAGGAAAATCTACACATTAGTCACCATGATATTAATACAGCTTTTCTGTACGGATCTCTAGATGAATCACTTTATATGCTTCCACCTGATGGCGTACAGGTAAAACAGGGATTTGTTTGTGCTCTGAAGAAATCCCTTTATGGTCTCAAACAAAGTGCACGGTGTTGGCACACAAAACTCACTGAAGTATTGTTTTCTAGGTTTTCAGCAAGGGAAAGCTGATCCATGTGTATTTGTCAAAGAGGAGGGGCAAAAGAAACTGTACTGTTTGTTTTATGTTGATGATTTATTATTCTTTTGGAAAGATGTTGCAATGTACAATAGCGCCCTAGCTCAACTGAAAGAGCACTTTGACATGAAAGATCTTGGTGAGGTAAACAACTACCTATCTCTGGAAATAGAGAGAGATCAAGATGGTAACATTCTAGTACACCAGTCACGGAAAATTGCTGATGTGTTAAGCAAACTAAATCTGATGGATGCTAACCCTGTAGACACACCGATGACAACAGGTTATCAGGTAGATGACACTGAAGAAGCATTTTCTGACACTACACTGTACAGGAGTGTGCTAGGCAAGCTAAACTTCATTGCCAGATGTTCAAGACCAGACATTGCTGTTAGCTGTAATTTGCTAAGCAGACAAGTCAACAATCCTAGTGTCAAGGATTGAAAGTTCTGAAACGCATAGCGCGGTATTTGAAAGGCACTATGCATTACAGACTGAGATTTAACAATCAGAAGTCTGGTGGTCTTGAGATATTTGCAGATGCAAGTTTTGGAAGTGACACTACAGACAGGAAAAGTACGTCTGGAGTTTGCTACATGTACAATCAGAGTCTGTTTGATTGGTCATGCAAGAAGCAAACAACAGTTAGCTTAAGTACTTGTGAAGCTGAACTGAATGCACTGTCTTATTCACTTAAGGATTGTGAATGGTTAGTACAATTGTGCAAAGATATGAAAATTCCTGTCAAATGTCCAATCCAGGTTTACCAGGACAACAAAGCATGTTTGGCTTTGCTGAAGTCTGAAGGTTGTAAGCAAAGCACAAAGCACTTGCAATTAAAGTTGCAGCATGCTAGGGAATGTATTCAGTGTTCTGGGGCCTGGGATGGAGCTGGGTTGTAGCTTTTTTCTAGGGTGTAGGCTCCTATTGAGCAGTTGGAGTTTATCAGCATGGATATATCTGTAAGGATGTTGCTTAGGGTGGGCCTGGAGATGTGAAAGGTGAGGCTATAGGCCTGCTGGGTTACCCTAACGCTGAGCAACAATATAATACCATACAGCAGGCATGGCCAAACTCGGCCCTCCTGATGTTTTGGGACTACAACTCCCATCATCCCTAGCTAACAGGACCAGTGGTAAGGGATGATGGGAATTGTAGTCCCAAAACATCTGGAGGGCCGAGTTTGGCCATGCCTGCCATACAGCTTCTTTGAAGCTTATACTCTTTCTCACAGAGCTTGAAAAGCACCTTGCTACTCAAGAGTAGTGAAGTGCTTTTTTGACCCTTAACTAAAAGTACATCTGCACAATACTTCACATTTCTAAGTGCCACATCATATTTCTGGGAGCAAGACATCAAATAGGAACGTGCTTGGGCTGCTGAAACTTCCAGATTCTTAGGCAATTGCATGCTTCATTTTTTTATAAGCAGGTTACATTATTTTCTGGCTGGCCTCAGCAGTAGACCCAACAGGTAAGAAAAGGTGTGTTTGTGCAGGTGTTTTTCAGGCCACCCTGTATTAGCTGTTCTACTGTTCTGCTAATTGGAATGCAGCTTTCTGGAATTGTTCTAGATTTGCTTGTGTGGCAGGACAGGAATAAAATACTTTTACGGAGTTGGGTTTGGGTGGCACTTAATGTTTTGGTGCGCAAATACTTGTTTATGATGACTAAAATGACCTCTGTTCCTTATGACTATATGCTAGGAAGCTCCATCATTGAGACAGTAAGCCTGTGTCAGACTGCAGGTTACACAATTGAATGTTCTTCCACCCTAAAAATTACCTGCACGTATATTTGTCCCAGTGTCTCAGACTCTTCTCTTGAGAGGGTTAGTTCGGGCCCAGAGTTCTGCCATGTATCCGCATCTGTGAAGACAATTGCAAAGAATTCATCCAGCTTCTCTGCAATCCCCCTTCCTCCTTTAGCATACCCTTGTCATCCAAAGTCCTGCTGCCTCCTTAAGTGATGGTCTGCTGCTAATTTCAAATTTTGTTGTTGTGGTTCGCCATGTTTTTAGCAATGGGATCCTCAGATTCGCTTTTGTACCCCTTATTGTCTGCTTGTGTTTCCTTTGTCAAAGTTTGTGTTACTTTTTGTTCTCATTTGAAGGAGAACATTTTCTGAAGGAAGCCTCCTTCCAGTAATTTCCTTGAATTGCTTGTTAACTATACAAGCATCCTCTTGCCTCTGCTGGTGCTTTCCTGATTTGTGACATGCATTCCAGTTGAGCTCTGTGTTTTTAAACAACTTCCAAGCATTTTGCAGATACTTGACCCTCTTGACTTTGCCTTTCAGCTTCATTTTTACCAATCCCCTAATATTTGGGAAGTTCCCTCTTTTGAAGTCAAATGCCTCTGTTGGAATTTCTTGGCAATTGTCCATTTACACATAAATTGAATTTGATAGCACTATGATCAGTGTTCCAAACTGATTCAACAATACCTACATCTTGCACCAGTTTGTTGGAACCACTTAAGGTTAAGTCCAGGGTTAACCCCTCTGCTTGGTTTTGTGACCAAACTGTTCTAGGGCACAGATTGTGTAGTGCACAATCAGTTTAGTTATTAAGAAATTTTAATTCTTTGCACTACTGAAGAATTCATATACCAAATGTATGGGAAGGTAATTGAAGTCACCCATTACTACAGCACTTCCTCTTTGGAATGCCTTTTTTATTTCATTCTCTGTTATGGTCAGAAGGAAACTAAATTATTCTTTGGGTTTGGTATCACCACCTATAGATATTCTGCGGAGGAATCTGGCCCTTTGAAGAGTTCCTGCTTGTTGAGTTCTATGTCCTCTTTGAAGTGCAGAGTGACACTGCCTTCATTATGTCCTTTTGTGGCCCTTCTATAGACTTTGTACCCAGAGATAATGACGCTTCACTGGTTTCCTCCATTTCACCAGGTTTTCTTTATTCCCACTGTATGTATGCTCTCCTCTGAGACCAAGCGCTCTTGCTTCTCTTGTCTTGCCTTAGTCTTCTAGCATTGCTATACAAACACTTACTGTATATACAGCATTTCCTTCCAAGTGTCTTTGGCACTTGCATTTAACCTATGGTGGTTTCTCTGAATAGCTATCATGGGCTCCAGCAATCTCAGTGCCTAGCTCTGCCCTCTTCCCATTTGAATTATAATAAACATGTCCCTCCCTCATCCCTGGGGGATGATTTGTTCTGAACTGGATGCTCCTCAGCTTCTGTTGGCTTCCCCCCAACAATCACTTTAAAAGCTGCTCTGCCATCTTTTTTTATTTCAAGCATCAGCAATCTGGTTCCTTCCCAGTTCAAGTGGAGCCCTGTCCCTTTTGATCAGGCCCAGCTTGTCCCAAAATATTCTCAGTAACTAACGAATCCAAACTTCAAACAAATCCAAAACTGCCAGTACCACCGTCTTATTAATGCACTGAGACTACACAGCTACACCTGTCAAGGTAGCCCTGCAAGTGGAACTGGTAGCATTTTGTAGAAAGCTGCTTTGAAGGCCCCAGCTTTCAAACTCCTCCCTAGCAACCTATATTTTGCTTCCAGGAACACCTAACTACATATCTTCATATCTTCATATCCTTGATACCTATACACACCCCAAGTGCTGATTCCTCCCTAGCACTAGATGGGCTGTTTTTTAGAGTTCAGCTGGAGTGGACATGGTGTGGAAAACCTGCTGGTGAAACTTAATGGTCAAGGGAATGGTTAAGGCATTTCATTTTCCCTGCAGATATCCTTCTCCTAAATTTATCATACATGAGAAACACATTATTGGGAATTTTGAGCATCCCTCTTAACACTTAGAGCTTTCCTTACCTAATTAATAGTTTTCTTCATTCTTTTATACCAGGCATGTCCAACTTTCAAGAGACTGAGATCTGCTCCCAGTATAAAAAATACTGGCAGTAATCTACCAAAGTTGTTGAGCTTTTTGGGGAAAGCCAAAGTTGTTGAGCTTCCAGAGGATTGATTACCTAGTAGGGTGATCATGATCTATGGAAATTACATCTCCAATAAATTTCTTCTACCAGGAATCTACCACGGACCTCCCGCGATCTACCAGTAGATCACGATCTACCTGTTGGACATCCCTGTTTTATACTAATTATTCTCCACCCTTTTATACAACTTATTTTGAATTCAAACTGAATTTCGGTCCAAATAAAAAGACAGAGGGAAATGAGACAAAATAATAGCTTCTTGCTTCAAAGTATTCAGAGGGGCTTACTTGTTTTTAAAACAAAAGTGATGAAATTTATGCCACAAAAGTGGCATAAATTGGGAAAGTGTGGGTTGTATTCAGCTTAGTTTTACTCATAGGAGACCCCTTGAAATTAATGGACTTAACTTAGTGATATCTGTTAATACCGGTGAGTAGAATTTAGTTGAATACCACCCTGTTTGTGTGTGGTTGCCATTTACAGGAGCCACATCTGTAGTTAGTGGTGTGAATATTCTCCTGTCAGACACCACTTTTCACATTTAGCAGTTATTTTTGATCAGTGGGTTTGAAGAAAAGGAGTGAAATGTCAGCATCTGCCTCAAAACCGGCGTGTCGTGAATGATTGAGCTGCGAGAAGAATACAAATCACAAGCGAGGATACATTTTCCTTGCCTGTCTTGGGTATCTCACACTTGCCCCTATGTGCCAGTTGGAGAAGACTGTCTTTAGGACTCTGTAGAGGGGAGATGTTGTGGCAAGAGATCACTGGGGGACAAGTGGGTGAAAGAAAATGTCTTTTTTCCATGCATATCATTGGAATGCAGATAAGTGTGATGCTTCAGAAGTTAAGAAGAACGAACATTTTAATGAATGAACGCCTCCTTTAGTGCTTAGTGCTCTAGCAGTGTGGTTGCTACTGCTACTCTGTGTGCCAAAAGTGCTTTCTCTTCTCCCATGTGGGTCACTTGAACCTGAAAAGTAGCAGAGAACCTTGCATTGTAGCAACTTTTGCTATGTTACATCTTTGTAACTAGGAAAATAATTATCCAAAGTGAAAATTCTATGTCCTACAAGTGCCTGAAGTAAAAGTTAAGAGTGACTATGATACACCTTTTAATTTGGGTAAAGCGAAGTGAAGGCACTGCAAGCTTAGTGGACTGTATTAATGAAAGCCCATATATGTCAAAGAAGATAACCTGAGGACAGACCATTTTGGGAATTTTTATGATTCCCGTTCTAGAAATATCACTGGCTGGCAGGGTGCCAACTTGAATAGAATATTGGAGGAGGGGCAAGTAAGCCTCACCTTGCATAACTGATCACAAGACGCAGTACATGGATGCCATTTGAATAGCAATGGCCATCAACTGGGCGGGGGCAGCCCCCTCAAATATTTTTTTTTGGGGGGGGGAGGCCCCATGGCCCCTAGGAGTTGGCTCTATGCTGGCTGGTGACTGATTTTAAGATTATATTCCCATTGAATTTAAAGACTCCTTTCTGATTAAAACCAAATAAAAATTCTAAATAGTATACAAATAGAACATAAAAACTTAATTTTGATATACTTTTTAAAATCCTGTCCCCCAAACTTGTTTAAAATGTTTGTGCTAGCTTCCCTTAAAACGTGGCAGCAAATAAATTAGTATATCTTTTGATGCTTTTAGTATTTTAAAAATGAATTTATTGTGACTGCTAAATGGTTCCGTTGTATAGCTTACTGAGAGTTGTGGGCTTTTGCGCTCTCCATGCACAGATATTCTTAAAATGCCAGTGGCTGTAAAAACTGACAGCTGTTAGGGTAGGAGGATGCTTGTACAGAGAGGATCTATGCCCTTGAAGAAGAAAGCTGCACTGCAGTGCTTTTTTATTATTTAAATACAGTACCATTGTGTTATATGTAACTGAGTTGCACTGACTCTGATCTGAGGAGGGAATGTTGCTGCACTTTGTTAACAATACAATGCATGCTTTTGAGGGCTTTCGGGGACACTGCAACAGAATATCCTCCTCCCGAATGTATCCCATGGAATTGATAGTGTGATTTATCTTTATCAAAATTGTAACCATCAATAGTAGTATATTATTAGTAATCTTTTGTTTCTTGTCCAGGTTTTTTAAAACCAGAATCCTGATGGCGCTTTGGAAAAAGTACCCAGAGCTTTTTCTAGCTCAAATAAACAGAGCAACAAATCAGCGAAATTTCAGGTATGTGTTCCAATACATATAATGGCTTTTTACTCTGGAGTATATTTACAGGCACATGAATCAGATGAAGCAAACCTAGTGTTCATTTGTCAGACTCCTCCCTATTTTCTATATAAGCAAAATTACAAGATTACATTGGGAATGGTTTACTGTACGGGACTGTATTTCATGAATTTATCCTATTGATAAGAATACTCCAGGTTTGTTCCAGTGGTTAAAATAATTTAAAATCCCACCTCAGTTGAAAATCTTTATACTTACATATGCCACCTCCTGTGGCATATGATTTGTTAACTTTGCCGTTCCCATATAATTCTAGTCTGTGGTTCTATATTTATCTGAGCGTAAGTCCCATTGAACTCTGTGGGGTTTTCTTCTGAGTAGGTGTGTATAGCATTGTCCTTTAATAATCTAGTCGTGCCCTGAACAGATTTCCACTTGGAGGTTATTTCTTTCTAGTCTTAACTCATAAATTCATTCAACAATGCCCCTTGACAAATCTCAATTTGTTTAGCTTAGCAAGTAGTTGATAATTTTGAGTCTAGTTCATTCAAGACATCCCTCCAATACCTCGAAGTTTTATAATAATGCAGTGGTTTTAAAGTGCAGTTGAATATGTGTGTGTGTGTGTGTGTGTGTGTGTGTTGTTGTTAAAAAAATAATGGTTTTCTGCACTGCTCAAAGAAGAAAATGTCACTGTGTTAAAAGCTAGGAAACAGCAAGTAGTATTCACAGTGGTAGGATGCTATATGAAGTCTTTCACCAACTTAAATTTGCTGTAGTCTTACTGTAGTCTCAAGGTATGGTCTGAAGGTACATGAGGGCTTTGGGTCTGGCCAGTGCTTGGATGGGAGACCACTTGGGAACTGCATGCATATTGTATTGGGTTCTGTGGTGAAGGAAAAGTGTGATATAAATAACGTTTTTTAAAACGAAAAAAGTCTCCACCCCTTCCAACCAATGTGGTAGTCGTGGCAGTGTCTCCTTATCTATTTCAGAGCTAGGAGAGGCAGTTTCTGAGCACCATGCAGGTCTTCCTAGACCGCAGAAGGAGAATTGCCACAGCTTGAGGTGCTGTGAGTTGCTTTCTTAGAGGCAGTGGCTGCCTATATAAGGAAATGTGGCTAAACCCTCCTTTGTGCCACTGTAGCTAATGAGATTCCTAATAACAGTATATAATGTGTTGCTGACTTTTTAATAAGCACTAGCCCTATTTCTCTGCCTTGAAAATTACATGGCAGCTTGACGTCCTAGAAATTTTCGTAGGATGGAGAGACACTGATGGTATGATTCTGGGTCTCAGGCTTCTGTTAAAGGGCAGTTGTTTCTTTTAAAATCACTTTTAATGTATGTATTACTTTTCCGGACGTTTTATTTAGACTCACAGAATTGTAGAGTTGGAAGGTATCTCCAAGGGTCATCTAGTCCAATCCTTTGCAATACAGGAATCTCAACACAGGGTCTCCCATTCAATTTGAAACCGTACCAGACCCTGCTTAGCTTTGCCAATGTGCTAGAAGTTTTATTGCTGCACCACTACAACGAAAACAACAACAATTTATTATTTGTTCCCAGCCACTCTGTGCGGCTTCCAACAAAGATTAAAAATACGTTAAAACATCAGTCATTAAAAACTTCCCTAAACAGGGCTGCCTTCAGATGTCTTCAAAACATCAGATAGTTGTTTATCTCTTTGACATCTGATGGGAGGGCGTTCAACAGGGCAGACACCACTACTGAGAAGGCCCTCTGTTAAAGTCAAACATTAACAATAAAACAATAATTTAAAAGTACCGTATTTTTCAGTCTATAAGACGCCCCCATTTTTAAGATGCCCCATATTTTTGGGGACTCAAATTTAAGAAAATGGGGGGGGGGAGATGTATCCGTGTATAAGATGCCCCCTAATTTTTGACATTATTTTTTAGGAAGAAAACCTAGTCTTATACACGGAAAAATACGGTAATAGGGAACAAAAATATGGACTGCATACATTTTCCATTGTATGAGAATAAGTTCTTACATATGGCATATTTACCAACCATTGTGAATGTATTTATTTCTGATGTCTGTGAGAAATAACATTCTTAGGAGAAAAGAGGTCAACTATCATTGTAGGCATTTATGTTAATTCCTTCTTCAATCCATTTTTAACTAGAGGAGTTATAACTTTGTGGTTTCATCTTATTGAAGCACAGGAAAACCATTCCCACAGGTGGGATCCTTAAAGATTTTATTGTGTGGTGAACCTGGAGTTGTGCCACTTCCTGCTGCTGAATTGCAGGCCAAGGAGCTGGAGAGCAGAAACTTCCAGCAAAGCTAGATATAGTGATGGGAAAAGGTGATGGCTGTTTATAGCAACTCAGAGAAACAGAATAAAAAAAAGCATTGCAATATCCTTTTCCCTGCAAAATTTCTCCTTTAGAAGCAGTAGGCTGAAAAATAAAAGTCTTTCAAATACAAATATGAGCTTTTCATTGTGTTTTTGTGACCCTGTGACATGTAAGACCATTGAAATCAATGACACCTGTGAACACAATCTTATTTTACCTGTAGAACTACCTGGGATAGATAAGGGTTAAATCTGTTTCTTCCCCTCCCTTGCCATATTCTTCTCCTGTTGTAGGCAGGTTCTATTCTTGGCATCTTCCCTTAAAAGGCTTTTAAGTAGCAGAGCAAGGAAAGATCCCTGCCTCAGACCATCAAGCCATCGGTGTTTGAAGTCGTAGACATGGGGCTGCTTGGATTAAATGGTCTGACGCAATATTTAATTCTTTGTATGTTCACAAAAATGTTCCTAAGTTCAGATGGGTACAGGTATGTGCCCCCCCTTCGGCATTCAATGTGCTACTCTTTGTGAGGAATATTTCTGCCAAATCCTTCATGTTCAAGAGGGAACAAAGACCCTTGACTTTTGTGGTTCATTGTATAATGAAAGCTTTGTGGTATAAGAGAGTTCCCGAGAGACAAACTGGCTGTTCATGAATTTCTCGAGTGGGCATTGTAAACAAAAAGTGGGAACTGCTTTGAGGCCCTAGTTTGGCACTGAGGTCAGGCAGGTTTCCCTTGCAGATCTCAGTGTGTACAGGTGCACATTTCCTTAGATGCTGTGCATAGTAAGTTTCTGTCCCACAGGCCAGTACACTTTCTGGAACTGTCTTCAAATATGTTACTCTTCATTCATATGCATCAATTAATTGTTGTTTAGTCGTGTCTGACTCTTTGTGACCCCATGGACCAGAGCACACCAGGCACCCCTGTCTTCCATTGCCTCCTGCAGTTTGGTCAAACTCATGCTGGTAGCTTCGCGAACACTGTCCAGCCCCCTGTCCTCTGTCCCCTTCTCCCTGTGCCCTCAATCTTTCCCAACATCAGGGTCTTTTCCAGGGAGTCTTCTCTTCTCATGAGGTGGCCAAAGTATTGGAGCCTCAGCTTCATGATCTGTCCTTCCAGTGAGCACTCAGGGTTAATTTCCTTAAGAATGGATGCGTTTGATCTTCTTGCAGTCCATGGGACTCTCAAGAGTCTCCTCCAGCACCATAATTCAAAAGCATCAATTCTTCGGCTATCAGCCTTCTTTATGGTCCAGCTCTCACTTCCAAACATCACTACTGGGGAAAAACATAGCTTTAACTATACAGACCTTTGTTGGCAAGGTGATGTTTCTGCTTTTTAGGATGCTGTCTAGGTTTGTCAAAAATCTGCGGCTCTAGTCTGCCTGACTTTATGTTGCCATTTTGCATTTCTGCCCTCTTCAGATATGCCAGACCTGGAAACATAGGCAACTATTGGTCCCTCTAGCTTAGACAGGCAGTAGTTGTCCAGGATTTCAGATAGGGGGATTGCTCAACCCTCCTTGGAGAGATCAAGGAACTGAACGTGGGACCCCTTGTGTGCAAACCATGTGCTCCTTCAGTGAGCTATGTACAAGCTTTTAAAGATTAAATAGGTTTGTGCTGCTTTAATTCCTGTATCTGGTTTTATATCACAGAGGCAGAAGGATGCAGAAGAAGTCAACAACTTCAGCCAGCCCTTGGGCTCCACTTGGGCTAAGATGGAGACTTTTGGGTCCCATGGAATAGGCATGGTGCATGGATGTTGGTGCTTCAAAGCCATCAATCATTCTCTGGTTGTGTCTCTCTTTGAATGAAGACAGTAATTCACTGATGGCAATAACTTTATTATTTCCCACACACTGAAAGCTGAAGGGGGGCAGGAGGTGGTTCTAAAGTTGAGGTTTTCAAATTTTGCTGCAGTGGTTTTCTCAGCTTGAGTCATAACTCAGATTGAGGATCTAGTCTGTGATTGTTATTCATCTCAACCTAGAAGCAAGCAGATCTCAAGGAAGGGGTCATGTGTGAGGGTACCACATGCTCTGAGTTGCTAAAGAGGAAATGGGTGTTAAAAATAAACAAATGCCATAGTGGGTTCTCAAGACCTGTTCTGTTTGAGTCAGCATTCTGGTGTCTTTCACAGTACAATTAAAAGTTATATAGAAACAATTACGTATATAAATACAATTTCTAACCCAACACCAACTGGGTTCCAAAGAGCAGGTGCCACAACACTAAAGGCCCAATTCAGACTTCATACAGAATGGACCTCCTGATAAGAAGACCACCCAGTTCTTTAAAAAAAATTAACAATGACTATTTTTATATAAATGAACTGCTTCTAAGAGATAAATAATTCATAAATTTACCAAAAGTGGTGGTGATATTGAGAACTGAGATACGGAAATATGTTTTCTGATCAACAAATCTGACATCTCATTTGGATGTGTCCCATTAATTTGTCTGGTTAATCCCGGTTTTTAATAAAAAATAATTGCTTTTCTTTGCTGAGAAAGTGCTCAGAAGTCACTTATGGATTCTTACCAACCAGACTCCCTTTCTCTAATCCTTTCCTCTTTATTAGAAGAGGCAAAAAAGAAGCAAAACTCCAGGAAAACCTGTCAGACTAGTATCTAATTAGCAGAAGTCTCTTGTGAGAAATTAACATTCTAGTAGAGAAGCCAGTTTCAAATCCTTATTAGGTCCCCTAAGTACCAGATACTGTAGTTTAAGAATCCCTTGCTTGCCTTCTGAACAATGTTCGGTCATTTGGTGTATAAATCTTTGTAGCTAAAAAAAAAAAAAAAAAAGTATTTCAGAAAATTATTTGACCGAAGGATCACCCAGCATGTGTTTTATCTCACTGTAAAAATAAATAATTGTATGGCTTTACAAATACTGAATGAGTAAACATTACTTGTAATAGTAAGCCATGATGGTAACAGCTGAGGAATCCTTTGGAGTCTTAACAGTGCAGGCCTATCCATTTTACTTAGAAGTAAGCCTCATGGAGTTTAGTGGGACTTGCTTCCAATGAAATCTATATAAGCTGGCCACTCTGTATACAATTCTTTCACAGTTTAGGGGGAAGACAGAAAACCCCACAAGACCAGTTCCTTCCTTATCAGCATCTGGTTTCTGTGAGGAATCAACCTTCACATTGAAATGGGCTCACTCTCCCCCCATCCCAACCCTCTGTTTGTGAGATGGCTTCTTTCTGTTCACCCTAGAATACTTCCCAGAATCCTCTGCAATTCTTATCACACGCTAGCAATTCCTTAGTAGATAAGCTGGTGTGGAAAGCTACTTTCTGAAGGGCAAAAGTTTGAAAATATTTGCATTTCTTGGGTTGCTTTATATAAAAAAAGCTGTCCTTTGACCCTCTCATGCTATCCACTGTTGATTTAAATGTACTAAACTGCCTTTGTGGTAGCATATTTAGAGTTTTTGGCTTTAAACAGCATTTTGAGTGCAAGGGAGGTCATCGTAACGGCACATGTTTCTGAACATGATAGTCCTTGATTGGGACTGCTACCGTTGGTCTGACTTGTTATTGCCTTCGAACTTATCTTTCGGCAGCATCAGCGGCGCGTGCAGCGCAATACAGAAGATGACCCGTGTGCGAGTTGTAGATAACAGCGCCTTGGGAAACACTCCGTACCACCGGCCTCCAAAATGCATCCATGTCTACAACAAGAACGGAGTGGGCAAAGTCGGCGACAAGATCCTTCTGGCTATCAAAGGGGAGAAGAAAAAGGCTCTAATCGTTGGCCACAAGATGCCGGGCCCTCGCATGACTCCCAGGTTTGATTCTAACAACGTGGTGCTCATTGAAGACAACGGGAACCCAGTAGGGACGAGAATCAAAACCCCAATTCCCTCTCTGCTGAGGAAGCGGCAAGAATTCTCGAAAGTGTTGGCCATTGCCCAGAACTTCGTGTGACAAATAAGGGAACATGCAGTTAAGTAGTACTGTCCCCCCCCCCCCCGCTTTAAACCCTTCTGAACCTAAATAAAACAGTAATAAGGGGAAGTTTCACATCGGCATATGGGTTGAAAACCCATCAAGATTTCTTTTTGAAAGCCATATTGTTGCCCTTTTCAGTGACCGTTGCGACATGATATGATTAAAGCTCAAGATGGTTAATCCAGTAGCTTGTTTTGCGTGGCTGATGCCTTTGGGGAGGGCAGGGCGAGGCAGAAGGGTTAGGGAAGGCAGAAGATGTGATATGACCCAATTGGAGGAGCAGACTAGTGAATATCCTGTGCTAGTCTCCCGATTTGTCCTGTCTGTGTTCTTTCTCTTTCTTTCTTTCTTTCTTTCTTTCTTTCTTTCTTTCTTAAACCAGAACATTTGTCAGTATGTTTTATGTATTGATAAATATTGAGCTCGTCCAGGCTCCAACCAGCAAAAACAAAATACATAACTGACTGTATAGCAAAACATTAAGCCAGCAGTTTTGTTCAAGAGCAGCAGAAAGGAAATAAGAAAAAACAACAACCCACAAAGGGTGGTATCCAATGCCGTCTGTTGGTTGATGAAAGGAATCCATCAGTGGATTGGGGGAGGGATTTCCATGGCTTCCCCCTTCTTCAGTCCTTGCCAAATAATTCCAGATTCTGTGAAATACTGAAAGCAGAAGCAGTTACGAACAATTAATACCTGCAAATGTGGTGTGCACGCTTCTGAGTGACAGAATGGGACTGTGTCAGTGCCTTGGCAGGTGGCATTCCATTTTACTTTCTTTCAGTGGATGAAATCCAGAGTAATTTCAAAACACACGAACCTCATGGATTTCAGCCAGTGTGGTGTGGTGGTTAAGAACAGTAGACTCGTAATCTGGGGAACCGGGTTCGCATCTCCACTCCTCCACATGCAGCTGCTGGGTGACCTTGGGCTAGTCACACTTCTCTGAAGTCTCTCAGCCCCACTCACCTCACACAGTATTTGTTGTGGGGGAGGAAGGGAAAGGAGAATGTTAGCCGCTTTGAGACTCCTTAAAGGGAGTGAAAGGCGGGATATCAAATCCAAACTCTTCTTCTTCTACAAGCGTGTGTTTGCAGTTGTCCCCCACCCCCAGTACCCCAGTGTTACTTGGCGACAAGTCATTTGATATTTAGTACACCCTATGAACAAAAGTTTGTGGTGGATAACAACATTGAAAACGGAATAAATATTCTCTAGCAGTGGTGAGATTGTGTTATCTCCCTGTGGCTCTTGCATATGTGAAAATTAAAACGTTTGAATGTGAGAAAAATGCTACTAAAAAATAATACCCTGCCTTCAAGATGTGATGCCATTGTGTGAGAACCAAGGATGAAAGATCTGCTTTTTATGTTGCTCTTATGGTGAACATTGAGGATTTCTCCCCTCTTTGTGCCATCTGGTGGTGATTTATGGGATACATATAAATCCACAGCTTGTATGTGTCTGTCAAGAGCAACACCCTTGCATTATATTGCATGTGACATGCTCTCTCCCCGCCCCTCCTCCCACTATGTATATCAAAGTAAAGCAGGGGCAAGGGACTTTTTTGGCTTGGCAGGCCAGATCTTGTATCTTCCTCCATCCTGCAGATCAACCTTAACAGCAGGGTGGGGTCACTCATCTGACATAGAATTATAGAGCTGGAAAGGACCCTGAGGATCATATAGTCCAACCCTCTGCAATGCAGCTGTCCCTTACGGGGATTGAATCTGCCACCTTAGTGTTATCAGCACCACTCTCTAACCAACTGAGCTATCATCATCATCATCATCATCATTTATTTGTATGCCGCCTTTCCACAAAAAGAGTCATGCTCAACAGCAGCTTACAACAAAGAAAAATGGGAACACATCTCAAAATCAACCATTGCAAGAAAAATTTCATAACATAATAAAACAACAACATGATAGCGAATGTAACAACACACAGCCCGCCTCACCCCCGTAACATTTCAGTACTACAAACAAGAGTGCATTAACAACATTACCCTTCCTGTCAATGGCAGCAATAACAAGGGAGCTTGATAGTTTCACCTTGGTCCTATCTAGAAAACCCTCTCCCACCCCCTGCAGCAACTTGCAAGACTTCCAAAGGCAGGGGGTGGGATAGGCATCCACACACCTGCCAAGCTGACCTGTGGTGGTGGGAGGGGTCTGCTTCGCCACCATGTTCCCTGCAGGAAATGCACTGGCAAAGCAGCACTCAGCAGGACTGAACTCTGTTCATCAGCTGTGCGCTCTGCTTTGCCAGCTTATTCACACCGGAAAGGTCCTGGCAAAGCATCACCCAGGAGGATTGAACCCCTTTGCCCATCAGCTGATATGACCCTTTGTCATCAGTTGATAGGTGGGCATAGTTTGGGGGAAATGGCCTCATGGGCCAAGGTGGCAAGTCAAAACCAGCCCACAGGACAGAGTTTCCTCACTTCTTCCTTTAAAGGAATGATGACAATATTTTCCTGCTACTTGTATTTTAAATCATTAACGTATGCCCGTCATGGCTGTTTCGTTTGTTCAAACTACCTCCCCCTTCCAAGTCAGTGGAAAGGACTGGCGTGGTTCCTTGGAGCTGAAATGTATATTAAGGCCAGATATGTGTCACTGGTAAAGGGGCCTATGAGAGAGGCTAGATTCAACAGACTTTCTTAATAAATCTGAGTTCTGAAGCCATGTGTTTTACTGCAACGCCTTGTGTTGCTTATGAAAGCCTCAGGAATATAGGAGGCAGGCTTGTACCCAAGCTACACCATCGGTCTATGCAGTTCAGTATTGTCTGTATCAGGGATGGGCAGACTTGAGGTTTGTGGTAACTGCTTTTTGCTAGAACCCAAAAGTCCACCAACTGGAGCAAAATACACTAAGAATTAAGGTTCCTCTGAGCACAGGCATAGCCCAGGAATTTGTGATCTGTGCCAGAACTAAGGTCATAAAAACTTCCATGCAAAATTTCAGTTCTGGATTTCCCACATTCTTTTCTTCCAGCAAGGTAGGTTTTGTGCTGACTGTCTGGATCTTTGAATGAAAATGGCAGGGGTTGCAGGTGCCCACTTTGACCCTTCACATCATTGGGCAGCTGGGATAGCACTGTGGAGGAAGGGCATAACCTTGGCACTGTCCCTGACAGACTAATAGCTGTTTGGATGCTCATTCACACTCGTACCTTCTTGACTACAGCATTGACTCATTATTATTATTATTATTATTATTATTATTAATGGTTTGTTTCAAGTGTTTCCATACTATAACAAGCAACATTTGTGCCCTGTCCCTCAACTTCCTCCTGTGCCTATCTACAAGGTGGACTTTAGTTACAGAATAGTGTTGCTCACATCCATGACGGATATGAAATATCAGTAGAGAACCTTTATGGCATATTAATACACCCAAAACAGGAATATAATAAGAATAGTTGAGGCAACCCGCCCCCTTCATTTTGGTCTGAACTCCACGCTCTGCTTCATTCTTACACACTTCCTTACAGTGCTTAAAATGCCCACCAAATATTAACAACATCCATAAATCCATATTGTTTTTTGGAAGTTGGAATGTGTTTCGGAATAATGTGGCTGGTTTGAACTGTAAGTTGCTCTGAATTGGGTGAGGTTTTGTTAGGGTTTTCTGTGTAAGTTATGAGTAGTCGCTTAATCTACCTCAGAGGTTCTCAAGCTTTTGAAGCTCAGGACCCACTTGACACAACTGAAGGCTCCTGAGGCCCTCTAGTCTCAAAATGGTGGTTCAGGAACAAAGTTAGTCACAAACTGATGGCATATGGAGGCAGAGTTTGGCATGATGAGCTGGCAGTTACTGACCTCACTTTCTATGGATATCTCCAGACACTCCTAAATTCTGTGCTATAACATTTTCCTTATGGCAGGGGGTTCCTCACTCAGCTTTCCTCATTCCTCCATTTTCTCTGGAGTTATTTTGACTCATCTTCCCTATTTTAGCCAGAATTTGCACTTGGGGACTCTTAGTGGAACAGTCTCTCTCACACACACCCAGCACATGGTTCAACTTTAGAATTTGCTACCATAAGATGTAGCAATGGCTACCAACTTGGGCAGTTTTAAAAGGAGAATTAGACGAATTCATGGAGGATGAGGCTCTCAGTGGCTACTGGTTGTGGTGGCTGTGCTTTGCCTCCAGAATCAGAGGTGTCCATGCCTCTTAATATCGGTCACTGGTGAATAACATCAGGAGAGAACGATCCTGTTTACGTCTTGCTTGTGAGCGTCCCATAAGTATCTGGTTGGCCACAGTGAGAACGGAATGCTGGATCAGATAGATCTTTGGTCTGATATAGCAGGGTTTTTCTTATGTTCTTTCTGCAGAAATTATTTTTGATACTATAAAAACCCACGTTCGCTTACTGAAAATCTTGACTAAAAAGAAAGAAAAACCCTTCAAAGGCCCATTATCGCTAACACAAGGACCCAGGTCAGACCACTACTTGGGATTAGAAAAAAAAGCTGTTCAACATTCCCATTTCATTATTAAAATTTGGGTCGTGCATTTCTTAAGAGCTGAATAGCTCCTGCTGTTGACCTATTATGCTAAAAATCTTATATCTCTCCTATAGAGCTGGTGAGCAGGGGAATAGGGCATAACAATAGAATATGCTACTTTAATCCTAACAGAGAAAGACGTTTGATTTGTAATATTTTGAACAAATCCTTAACCTGGGAACTCAATATAAATAGGTATTACAAGACAGCTCAGCAAATATTTTCCTGTTGGGGGGGCCACCTACAGTTTTCATCAGTATTGCTTTGGAAAGAGGCATGATGCAGGGGAATACTTGAAAACAAATAAATGCACCCCCTAAGAAGAACAGAGAATTGCAGAGGTAGTGCTTTCTAACTCTGGCTGAGTATAGCAGACTGGTCTGTCTACAGCTGAGAGCCACTGATTACATACATTGCTTAGAGATTTTTGAAATATTAAGTGGTTTGGAAATGCTTTTAACTAACTAACTAACTGACTAACTAACTGTCTGGGGGGTGGAGATGGCTCAAGATGGTGGAGATGCAGTCGTCCCGTCCCCCCCAACCTTGTGGATCTCAGATTATCTTGGGCAGGGGGAATATGGAGAAAACAATTGTTAGGAATTAGAACTGAGTGAAAATGCTTTTTAAGCCAGTGAGATTTCTCCCTCCTCATCCTTATCCCATTTAGGTTTGTTATGTGTTTATCAATACTGGATTAAGGCTACTGTTCATGTAGGAGTAAAAAGATAGTTACTCCCATTGCTCCAGAGAAATAAAAATCTCCTTACAGTTTTAGTGTAAAATGATGCCCTTGTACCACACGAAAGCATTCATTCTGAAATTCGTGAGTGTAAAGACATCCTATGATTACCACAAGAGGGCAGCTTGGGTGTAGAAATAGCAGCTCTGCCTGAGTGGCAGAGAGGCTTTCTAAGAGATTGTGCTAATCCTGATTGACATTAAATAGCCAAAATCTACCTTTGTCAGCGCTTTCCCAAGCCACAGGCAACTGAGGAAGGACAAAGCCGCTGGAGCCTATGGGGAGAAATCTTAGACAGGGAGGCCTCCCGAGTCCAAGGGAAAGAAGCAACGGGTAGAGGTTGATAGTTTAAGTGGAAGACTGCCATAAACAGGCCAAGGGATAATCAAGTCTGCTGACAGCTTTTGACAGCAGCATCTCTTACCTATGGTGTGATTGTGAGATTGTCAGAATAGCCTGGTACTAGTTAGGGTGGAGGAGATGTGAAGCGTTATTCTTGCTCAGGGACCCCTACAGCAGTGCCTGTGGTTTATCCAGTAAGCATTAGTAATACAGTCATTGTCAAAGTTTCCAGGTCCTGATAATGCTTTCTATAATCTTTTCAAATGCTGGTCTTTCTGTCCTTCAACTTCAACAAACTTCAACTGCACTATTACTCTTTAGGGAGTAATAGTCCAGGGTGTTGAAAGTAAGATTTCTTTTTGAAAGCTGTACGTAACTAAACACCTATTCAAACGACCATTTACCAGTAGCGTCTGTGAAATGTACTGCCTTGGTACATTAGTGATGAGAGAGTGTCAAGCTAACTAGTTTCCCAAGACAGGTGCTAGATGCCACGCCAGAATGTTAACTTGGCAGCTGCAAGTTTGGTAGTCAAAGATGTTGATGTATTTATTTGATTTTTTTTTAATGCTGCACATCCTCCCAAAGCAGTGCAGCAGCACAGTCAATGAAACAATCCAACTTTTTTGAAAAACAGTTGAAAAGAAACACAATATCCTGACGACTAATAATTTAAAAGTAGCCCAAACCAATAAGCAAGAATGATTTTCAGCTCCACCTAAATGTTAACAACAAAGAGGGAGGAGTCATATGTCACCAGGGAGGGCACTCCATAAGTAGGAGGGGGCCACCGCTGAGAAGGCCCTGTCATGGGCCACCAAGTAGCACTGTGGTCTAAACAACTGAGCCTCTTGGGCTTGCCGATTGGAAGGTTGGCAGTTCGAATCCACATGACGGGGTGAGCTCCCATTGCTCTGTCCCAGCTCCTGCAAACCTAGCAGTTAGAAAGCATACCAGTGCAAGTAGATAAATAGGTACTGCTGTGGCAGGAAGGTAAATGGTGTTTTTGTGCACTCTGGCACTTGTCACAGTGTCCCGTTGCACCAGTTGCGGTTTTGTCTGGCTGGCCACATGACCTGGAAAGCTGTCTGCGGACAAACGCCGGCTCCCTCGGCCTGAAGCGAGAGGAGTGTCCCAACCCCATAGTTGCCTTGACTTAACCATCCAGGGGTCCTTTACCTTTACCTTTTACCTTACCATCCAAGCAGCACCCAGTGGTGGCACAACCAACAGGGCCTCTGCTGCTGATTGTAAGGCTCAAAGTGGTTCATTCTGGGCACCACAATTTAAGGCAGACCTTGACAAGCTAGAACATTTGCAGTGGAGGGCAACTAAGATGATCAAGGGTCTTGAAACCAAGTCTTATGAGGAACAATTGAGGGAGCTGAATATGCTTAGCCTGGAAAAGAGGAGATAGAGAGGCGATAGGATAGCCATATTCAAATATCTAAAGGGCTGTCACATGAAAGATGGAGCAAGCTTGTTTTCTCTTGCTCTGGAGGCTACGACCTGAACCAATGGCTTCAAGTTACAAGAAAGGAGATTCTGACTATACACCAGGAACAACTTTTCAGTGACAAGAACTTTTCAACAGTAGAATGGACTCTCTCTGAAGATGGTGGACTCTCCTTCCTTGGAGGTTTGAAGCAGAGGTTGGGTGGCCATCAGTCATGTATGCTTTAGTTGAGATTCCTGCATTGCAGGGTGTAGAATCCATGTGGAAGAAGAAGAAATATGTGCCTAGAATTTGGGGGATGTGCTTCATCCCCTGCAAACTTAGGATGCTTCTGAACTGTTGCTATTTTGGAGTTGGATTCAATCACATCCAGGCTGCAAATCCAGGTTGCATAATTATCATTGACCGGGGAGGTCTTGCACAAACCTACTGCCCCCAAAAGATAAGGGAAATGCCAGGAAAATAGCCTGGAAAATGTAGAGTAACACTAAGGTCTTGTAACATCCCCACAAACAAATCAGAATGAATTGTCATTAAATAGCCAATATCTTCCAATCTCTCTGCAAACACATCAGGGCGAATGCTCCACAAACAGGTCTTTTGGAAGCACCCTCACGCATGCCAGGACTCTTAAAAGCCAGGGGCTCTGTGTTGTATAGGATCTAGCAACTCTACCTAAGGTGGCAACAGCTGCATAGAAAGGCCCTTGCGATTCATCATGGAAGACTAAAGTGCTCAGAAGGGTTAAAACTAGGCCCTCTCGCGTTCGTTCTCTCTCTCTCTGGCGTGCCTTGGGAAGCTTTGTTCATTGGAGTATTAAATTCCACAGCTGTAAATAATCTGTAGCAGGAGAGATTATCAAGGCCTTGGGAAGAAGCAGCTTTTATTAATAAGATTGGGTCTCCCTGAGAAAGCTCACGTAGCTCTTTTCCACCCTTTCCTGGCTGCTGCTCCTCTTGTTTTTTGGGTTTTCTTTTTTTGCGGGGTGCTCTGCGTCAGGATCCAGGCCCCCGCCTCGAGCTCCCCTATGCTGGCAGGTGTGCTCAGCCGTTGCCATGAGAGCACTTCCTTGCCTCAAGGCCAGCAGCTGGCAAGCGGTGAGGCTGAGACAGTTACATCCCAGTTTTGCTTGGCTGGCTGTGTCTGCAGCCCGATTGGTTTCTTGGGCTGGAAAGAAGGAACCAATGAACATCTTGGAACCGGGCTGCTGAAGTATGAATGTGTGTTATCAAATATTTACACCCCTTAATGGGCTTTGAGCGGGGCCGTCAACTGATTTTAATAATCCTTTTTAAAATAAATAAATATATTCCGGCTTTTGATTTGGGTTGCCAACTTTTCAATCAGCTTCTGGCAGCTCTTGATGCCCAGACATTAGCAGCCGATGGTGTTTCTTTTTCTACCCATTGGAAAGCTTTGCTTGCTGTTTCCTGCAGACCAGGCTGTTCCACACACCCCTCTGGTCATTTGGCAACTTTACATTTCATTTATTAAATCTAAATATGTTTGCATATAAGCTTTTTTTTTTGGACGATATTAGGAGCTGTGTAATTTTCCTCACATGTGAGATAACTGCTAGCTCCTGCCAAGTTTACTCTTTTCCTTTTAATCATTTTAAAACATGGATGATCCCCTACTAAATTAGCTTGCCACAGCAGGATGGTGGCGGCGCGTGGGGTGGGGTAAGCTTCAGAAAAGTAACAAATACTTTCAACATTCTGGAGGATCAACGTTTTCATACAACAGCTTCAGCGCTTCCAGGTTCAATTTTTTTCTCTCATTTCCATTGCTGGGGAAAAGCTACAACCCACACCATCCTCAGTATAAACTGGTGGGGAGAAATGATCCCTAAAAATGCAATGCTATGCGTGTCCACTCAGAAGTGAGCCCTACTGAATCCATCACATCACATGAGGCTGCAATCCAGTGAGTCTCACTTGAACTCAGTGGGGCTTACTTCTGAGTAGACTTGCTTAGGATTTCATGGCAAGTTAATCAAGCATCAAATTTAGCTCAGGGAGGAGGGAGCTGAGCATAAAAACTGTCACTGGAGTAGCTAATTCATTCTCACAGTCTCTCTCTTTCTCCTTTGTATGTGGATCTCAGCTGGACATTTTTATACTCTCTTTGGAAGCCCATTTCAAAGCTGCCCCCGAAACAGGAAGGACTCCCTGAGATTTTTCTTAGCTCTCTATAAGCTCATGGACCTTTGGCTACCTCATCAGTTCTTAGATGCTACAAAGTAGGTTAAATGATATATTTTTAGACCTACTTAGATGGGATACTGCAAGCTTTGATTTTCACGGGGGTCGTCGTGAGACAGAGGCGGCAGCAGAAGCACACTGCCTCCGCTAAACCAATTCAGTCTGCAGAAAGGTACTCTAGTCTGTGTGCTTCGTTTCTTCTGTCTTTTTGGATCAACGTGGCAACCGCTGGCCTGGTTCAGATGTCATGACCTCAGTCTCATAAACCCACGCAGCTCCCTCATCTTTCCAGAATTTAATTTCCCATTACATCCAAGCCATATCCCCAATCAGATCCTGGTTTGCAATCGGAGGAGAAAAAACAGTTTCTGAAGTTTGATGTAACAGGAAACTGTCGTTTAACATACCCTGGAAGTTTTCAATAGTGGGGCAAGCCAGAAGGACTGTGCAGGTCCAAAGCTTGTTCTTGCTCTAATAAACTATGGATAGGCTAATGTCATTATGTCTAAAACAAGCCATTGCCTACTTCTCAATCCTGAGGCTTGACTGACTGCTTCTGATCATGCCAACCTCCAGCCTATTTTCCATTATCATAAGTTTTGGCCTTGCTCCCCTCCCTAACCCGCCACCCTCCTGAGCTTGCCTCTTTTCCTGCAGTTCTGAAAAAACTTTCTTTCAACCTCTGGTAAAGCTGTGTTCTTGGTGCCTGGGGGTCAAGCCTATCCACACTTGCCATCTTTCATCCCAACAAAGGCTATTTGCATTTAACAGCTGCACAACAGGCAGGAATTCCACCAGTGCAACTACACCCCTGCCCCAATTTGGAGATGAAAAACCCTGGCATGTTCAAAGTGCTGAGCCTTTGCCAGAAAATTGCAAATCCAGCTCATGGGCATAGAAAGCTGCGTTGTACCAAGACAAACCTTCTGCATGCAAAGCAGATGTTCTACCACTGAGCCATGGTCTTTCCTGGGTTTTGGTCTTGACTCTTATACACCATTCCACTGGTTATGATCAGACAAAGAGGTGCCATGCCTTCAGATGCAGGAGCAAAGCACCCCAGAAGCCAGGATGCTTTCTACACTCTTCCAGTCCTTAGTCTTCCTCCTGCTTCTCCGCCACAGATAATGCTTCCCCTCCCTTTACAGTGACTGGCTGCGCATCTCAGCGATTGCTGGCTGCCAACATTCCACAGGCAGCGCAACAGAACGCCTGAGAAATAAATGGTGTTTTAACCTAGTCAGACTCCCTTTAATGGAGACCGGCTGGATAAGAGAGGGTTGCTCTCTTGGAATGGAATGCAAATCAAAGCCCATTCACCTCCATGGCACCTGTTTCATTCTCTGCCAGCTGACCTGGGTGGGGTTTTTTTCATATATCTGGGGAGGAAGGAGGATGCGGGTGATAGCAAATCAAGAATGAAACGTCATGTTCACTGCTAAACGGCTCCAGGCTCGGCCCAGCCTGACCCTGAAGTTTTTCCGTTATATCTCCATGCGCATCCAGGAAGCCAATTGTTTTCCACGTGCCTCCGTGCATTCAGCATGATTTGGCCCTCAAACATTCTCTACCTCCGCATATAGTTACTTTCATCAGCTGCCACCACCCTTAACTGGACGATATTTTCAATTTTTAAAAATACAGTGCTAAAAACAGTTGCAGCAGAGGAAAAACTACACCAGAGATTAAACACCTTGGGATATTAAAAGGTCTTTATGTGGTGCAGAAGGGACTTCAGCATAGGCACCAAGTAAGATGCTCTTGAGAAACAGCCTCATAAGTGAGGAACCATTACTAAAAAGGCCATCATGGAGGTGGCATGGCCCTGAATACCAATTGCTGGGAATTGCTGGTGGGGAAAACGTTGTTGCACTCGGACCCTGGTTGCAGGCTGCCTATGGGCATCTGGGTTGCCACTGTGAGAACAGGGCACCATTTTTATGTTCTCTTTGAAACCACCTGCCTTACTTCAGATGGCAAGGACTCTCTGAAGTCGGCCTTACTAGGCCTTTGCTTCCCTGATCCCCCAATACTGCATGAAATGCAGGTCCCTTGCTGAAAATAGCAGTCCTGGGTGGAGTTTCTCCTCCCTCTCTGTGATACGCAGGACAAATCCTGGCTGCCTGCTTCAGCCAACACTTCCCCTTTGGCTGCTTTGCCTGGCTCTTCTTTATGGGCTTAGAGCAAAAGCCTTCTTGCCAGTCTCATGTGAAGCCGCAGCATGAGGGAATGCATGTGTTATTTGTTTACATCCGGTGGCCCTTGCACACCTGCACGCCCCACACCTGCTTTGGTGTGTCTGAGCCAATGTGGCCTGAGTTAGCATGAAAGTGGAATTTTATCTGTTCTAGACTTGCTGAGCCATACCCCAAGGGCTCCTGAGGTAATGGCCTGGACACATGCATGCTGCTTTATTACAACTGCTATTCTTTCCCTCCGGCTGATGAGCGGCAAGCCAGCCAGCCAGCCAGCTTGCCACATTCTCTGTGCCCAGGCCCCTGTGTACAGTATACTTTCCCTCCATGCTAACTTTGCTTTGCTGAAATGTTTGCCAAGAAGATAACTTCCAGAAAGTATGATTCCTAATGTCTTGCAGGGTGTGCTATTGTCAACCACCACCACCACAAACCCTTGGGCCTTGCAAGAAGGAGTATTGGACATTCAAATTAAACTCAGTTGTGTGGTAGAGAGCTGTGTGATTATAGTGCACTGAAGGTATCAAGCAGGTAGTTCTATTGCACCATGAGATATCTTAATGGCTCTCAACTCTGGCTTGACTAGAGGCATCACTGGGATTGCTGATTTCCTGCAGCCTCTTGCAGTGGGGACTGGCCCCAATGTCTTTAGGCATGTTCTATGGGATGGGATGGTTGGGGGGGGGAGAGAGACCTCATGCTGCAATTCCTGCATCATGACTGTGTCAGTGATCCCCCTCCATGGCATAGTAGATACTGAAAAGCTGCCCTGTGCCGATCAGCCAGGCAGAATAAATAAATTTATAGATTCCCATTCCTGGCAATGAAAGGTAGGGACAGTTGGAGGATTTTTTTGGGGGGTGGGGAGAGAATAGCATCATAGAATTGTAGAGTTAGATGGGACCTCCAACGATCATCTATTCCAACCCCTGCAATGCAGAAATATGCAGCTGTCCATATGGAACTGAACCTGCAACCTTGGTGTTATAGTATCGGGGCAGCCTATGAGGGATACATCTCACGGCTTGAATCATAGGAGCCAGCTCCTAGGGGCTGAGGTACCTTTGCCCCTCCTAAAATATTTGAGGGGGCCAGTCCCCCCAAAATTGAGTGTCATTCAAATGGTGTGTGCGCCATGTCTTGTGGTTGATTATGCAGGGCAAGGCTGCCCCCATCTTTTATTCAAGCTGGCACCCCTGGCTTGAATCACAACATTTGATCACCATTGCAGAATGCATTGCACACCATTGGATGAGCCTTGTGTTCTCTGGGGACAAGTTGCAGTTTGCCAATGGCTGTTGCCAAGACATGAGGAGAACTGCAGTAGTGGGAGCATGTCAGCTCTGGTTCCTCTGTCATTATTCATTATACAGAGCCAGGGGTGAAGGACCTGTGCCCCTCCAGAGGTTGCTAGACTTACAGGACTCATCATAGGAACAATAGTAAGCTGCTGAGTCAGACCCTGAGTCCACCTAGCTCAGTATTTGTCTACACTGTCTGGAAGCAGATCTCCAGGATTTCAGAACAGTTTATCTCCCAGTCTTACCTGGAAAAGCCAGGAATTGAACCTGTGATCTTCTGGTTGCAAGGCAGATGCTCTGCCCTCTGAGCCACGGTTCTTCCCTGATGATTCGTCATGCTAGCTGGGGCTGGTTGGAGTGGAGGTTCAACAACATCTGGAGGGCCACCTGTTCACCACCCTCCCCTGATATGGAGGCCTCTACTTAGGCATGCAACCACTCTCCACAGCTCTAAACCACAGCTATTTGCTTGCTGGAAGAACCTCTTTTTCCCAGCAACTCAGTGCAGCAGTCCAAATGCTACTAATCAATTATTCCACTGCAACAATAAAAAGCATTCGTTGGAGCAACACCCTTATCTGGATCCTGCTCTACAATATAGCAAGTTTACTGCTGATAGTCCCACAGCTAAAAAACAAAACAAAACAAAGAAGAACCTCACAATCTGAAAAGGAATTAGAAACACATTAAAATGGCAAAGGCATTTGCTAGATAAGTTTCTTGTGGGGTGGTGATAATGAAGAGGTGCTAGTATTACTGTTTTCATTCCGTTGTCTGCAGCGTGCTGCTCCTGTCCCACGTCACCAAAGAGCCATGAGGCACCTCAGGGAGAGGGGGCTCCTTGCTTTCATGCAGGGCTCCTTGTGCAGATCTCATTCCATCCTGTTCAAGCTCAGAATCCGCCCTCCAAGGAGGTTTGTCCCAGAACAAATGGAAGAAATCATGGGACAAAGGGAAGTGCGGACGAGCCCTCACAATGGTCCCTGACGGGAGGAACCACCACAGAACACGAAAAAGCCACTAGGTGTCGCCCCGGTGTTGAGTTTCTGCCCGAGTCACTGGTCAAAGAAGCAACTATATGGAGAGAGTAAGTAAAGAAATGAGATGGAGATGAACAATAATAAAAGTGAATGGTGAGTGGAAATCTGAGAAAAAGGAGAGAGGGGGTCAGAAAGGGATTTCATAGCCATTTCCTGCTTCATAGGATCAGCTTCAGGAAGTCTTTTCTCTTGTTTCCTTTAATAGAAGTCAGCACCCCCACTTAGGGGGCACATCTCACCTGCAGGGCAGCTGCAAAACACTGTGGTCTCCCCAATACAGCTGCATGCTGACAGCTGCGGTGTTTCTCTCCCTCCCTCCCTGCTCTCTTTTTTCTGTTTAACAAGGCAGTTGCTGTTGGGCAGATGTAAGTGTTGAGCTAAAGTAGTTTTGGGATAATGCGTTCTGCAGAAATCCCAGCATGCCTTAGTTCCTTGGCACCAGGCCTCGGAGGTCAAGGGAGTATGAAACTTAAAGGGCCTTAAGTTCTTTTAGCTCCTGTAAGACTGGAGGCCAGAGGAACCTGAGTCTCTCCAGAAAATGCTAGGCTAAAGCTCCCCCTAACCATTGGCTGTGTTGGCTGGGGAATGAGGGGAGTTGGGAGTCCGGCAACTTTTGGGAGGCCACAGGTTCACCTTTCCTACTGCACATACAGCATTTTCAGGAATCAGATTCCCAAGAATGAAAAACTGTACTGCAGCAGCTACGGCTCAATCTGATGCAGAGACCGACTGATCTCATTGGGTGTAGGGGTGAATCCAACTCTCTGTAGAACTGGGCAGACAAAATGTAGAATTATTATTATTTATTCTGTGGATGTGGAAATAAGAAGGGGAACATGAAAGGGAAGACTTTTTCCTCAGGATTCCTGGCAGGCAAGGGAAATACCTGCCAGGGTGAGAGTCTGGGAGAAGAAAGGGAAGCTCCCAGGTGAGAGCTGGGAGGGTCCACCACTTTCTGTGTGAGACAAAGGTTAAGAGCTACCTTTGAGAGAGGACTCCATGTTTCCTTCTTCTTCTTCTTTCTCTGTTTTTGTTTTATTTAGATTACTGTCTTTTATCTTATTGTATCATGAAAAAGCTTTAAAAATGGATTACTGGCAATTTTGAGCAAGCACGACAAATTTCATACACTAGTAAAAATAAAAATAAAATAAAATAAAATGAGGTTCTCTGGGTCTGCAGTCAGTCACTGGTGGAGTTGTGCAAAGACCCCAAGAGTTGTGCTTGGCTTTAACAATTCTACAGCACAATATTACTGTTCTATAATGTGTTGCAAGTAACAGGGCGTTGACACCGCCGGCACCAAACAAAACCAGCAGGGTATTATTCCGAGGAAGAGGATCTGGAGTTGGCGCACATACATTGGACAGAGTAGGCTATTGTCTGTTGTACTGGGACTGGAGCATCATCCAGTCAAGCAGCCCCTAGGGTAAAGCTTTTCAGCCCAAGGGCTTCTGCATTCTTTTCCAAGGGCCAGTGGTGGTCAGAGCCAGAGGCAAATGTTGGCTTAGTTTGTCCGCACACTCTGAGACCTCTCTCTCCCTACCATCTAGGTAAGCAAGAGGCATCATCAGAGTCCAGGGATGCAGTTGAGCTAGGCAAAAACACCCAGGCAGGCCTTGAAGCAAGGTCAGTGTGGGTGTGGCCTAGAAAGAGGGTGTGTGGCCAGAGAGCGAGGGCTGCATTTGACTCCTGAGACTAAGGTTCCCCCCTCTGCCCTAGCACAGTGCTTCAGCCCCTATGTCTTCGCTGACTTTGCGGAGGGAGGAAAGACACCGCAATTGCCTACATATGACCAGAAGTGCCTCCCAAGTCTCTCACACATTAGGCAGAGGAGTGCAGTCAGTGGCACAGTTAGATAATTCCAGCAGACGCTGGACTTTCCGGTCTTACCGGCTGGTGGCTTTAGAAAGTAACAGCCAGGGCTTGCTCCAGGTTTTTTGTGGGCCTAACCCCTTCCGTTTTTTAATGGCCTGGTTTGGCCCCTCCCTGCCCATTCATTCTGCCAACTGGTTCTGGACTTCTGCAGCCTCGTCCCGCCCTGACAGCACCACCACCGAGGTCAGTCTTAAGCAGATCAGACTCTGCAAAGAATCAGGTGTGAAATCTCTGCCGAAATCAGGACAGATACACAGGTGCCTTAGAGTGCTGTTGCCTCCCTGCAGCTGTCCTAAAGATGGCCACCCTCCTTGTCACCATGTCTTTGTCTCCAGAGCTAGGATGTGACAGGGGAAGGGTGGCTCTGTTTGAGCCCCACTGCCTCGCCTGCCCTGGTAGGCCTGCTGGCTGCCTAAGGCGGAAGCAGCAGCCAATAGTGCTTCCCCCTGTGATGCTGAAGGGAGCTGTCTGGGTCAGGTGCAGCCCTGCGTGCTCTGCGTCACGTACAGAGATGCTGTCTCTCCTCCAGCTATACTGTTTCCTGCCAGCTCATGCACAGAGGGGTTTGCTTCTTTCTTTTTCCTTCCCCCGGCGGAGATGCTCAGGCAGACAGTCAGCTCCATTGAGATTAGCAAACTGGCTGATCCTGCACCTGCGTTTGGAGGAGGAGGAGGACACTTTTGTACGTGCGCCAGCCGCTTTGAGGCAGGCGTGGGTTGGGCTATCGGGGGTTGCGGGAGGCTTGCTTTGCAGAAGGGTGGAAACTGAGGCATGGAAGAGCCGAAGCAGCTTGCCCCGGAGGTGACTTGTTGCATCAAGCTCAGGGTCAGGACACACAGAGTCCTGCCCCATGCACACAACAGATAGGATCCTTTCGCTTTGTGTGTGTGTGATTGTATTAGGGCATCTCAAGCAAGAGGAAGAACAGGGACCCTGGAGCTTTCACCCTGGGAGGATTAGAGTGATGGCACCCTAAAGCTCTGGGATTATTCACCTGTCAGAAGAAAGAGATAGTGCCTGTATCTGTTGCTTCTGCAGGGGCTCTCTTAACCCCTGTGCAAAAAGAAAAGGATTCTCGGGAGTGGGTTTTTCTTCCTTCCCCTTTGTACTTGGCGCAGGTACTTAGAAGGAAAAGGAGTGGTCAGGATTAGGAACAAAGGAAGCCACCAATTATTAGTCAATCTATCTGTTCTCTACACTGACTGGCAGTAAACTTCCGTGTGCATGCACACTTCTTCAGAAAGCTTATACCAAGAACAAACTTAGTTGGTCTCTAAGGTGCTACTGGACAATTTTTTAATTTTTATTTATTTATTTCGATTGCCTCAGACCAACACAGCTGCCTACCTGACTGGCAGTGGTTCTTCAGGGTTTCAGGCAGAATTGTAGACAGTCCTGTTTGGAGGTGCTGAGGTCCTTTTTGCATGCACTTGGATTAGCAATGCGTTTATTTTCAGGTGTATACACCACCCGGACTTCCTGGAGCCAAGAATACCCTACAGAGCACATTTTGCCCACCCCAATGTTGCTTACCTACAACTGCTGCAATCCCTGCTGGAACATGTAGTTCAGCACCTGATAGAACATTTCCATCGGGTCATTCCCTCCACCCTGCTACAAAGAGCTCCCTTGCAGCCTTGCATCCCTATACCGGCCAGGCTAGTGTTATACAGCTTTGGAAATACAGCTCAGTGTTTAGCTCCCGCATTGTCCTTGAGCCCAGCCATCGCCACACAACTCTGTTCCGTCATCTGTACTCTTGAAACAAAAATGACCTATACTTAGTGACGAACGTGGAAAGGAAACGACATGGTTGCTCACCTTGAACTTCAAGGATAGTGAGGGCTAAATAAATCAAGAAAGCAGCCTAATGCATTGTTCAATGAAACGACAGCCTCGTGATGCAGTTGCAGGGGATTTCCCCAATCTTTTGCAGTGAGTCCTGTATGTTCCAGAAACCTGAGCCATAGACTTTTAAGCAGTGGAAGGAAAACACTTCTGTTAGATGTCAGCCCAGGACTGGAACAATTCTGGTCACCCATAAATAACCTGAGCATCTAGGAGCCTGATCCTTTACACAGTGCACACAACTTAGTCCAATGGGCTTTGGACTGCCTGACTCTGCAAAGGATCAGGCTGGGTTGGGTTTTCCCCACCTCCTGTGGCATTTTAGGAAGCAAAAGGTTCCTCTTGAGTTATGGAGATTCACAAATAAAGAAGGCTAGGGGGAAATGGGACATTTGAGAAGTCTGCCACAAAGGAAAATTGGGGAAGAGAGTGTTGGGAAAGGGTAGGAAAAGATGATTTGGCCATGTTCCAGAAAGGGGCACATTTGAAGGGGGAAAGAGGTTTAAAGGGAGGCGGTAGGGCATGAAACATCAGGGAATGGAGGACGGAGGTGGTGGGGGTAGGGGAGGTAAGGAGAGCCATGTTTTCCCTGGGCTTTAGGTTTATTATCATGTCCAGCTGCGCTTGCCAGATGCCGCTTATTGCTGCGTGCGCACACACATGTGCCAGTGGTTAATTAAAATGTGGGCGTGCCAGGACCTGAGCCTGCCTAGCAACTGCCCATACAGGACAGTTTGCCAAGGGGTTTCGCCTGCATATGTGGTTGCCAGGCACATGCACAGCAAATTCACACCAAGGAAGAACTGCTGTTTTTTAAGTTTAACGGGGCAGGTGCGTTTCAAAAGGCCTTCAAAAGAGTGATGTGCTTTATGGATGATCTTGTTTGTGGAGGGGCTCTAGGCCACTGCTGGAGGACCTGCTTTGCAGGGTAAATGTCCCAGGATCAGTCCCCAAAAGGGAGCAGAGAGGCTCCCTGCCTGAAACCCTGGACTGTCGGTGTTGACTGAGTTAGGCCAATGGTCTGACTTGGAAGCTTCCTTCTTCCCCTCTAGACCCCCATCCTCTGAGCTGCAGTTAGAGTTGGAAGAGACCACAAGGATCATCTGGTTCAACCCTCTGCAAATGCAGGAATCTTTTGCCCAATGTGTGTCCCGAACCCACAATCCTGAGATGCTCCACCAACCAAGCTATCCCAGTGATACCATGCCAGTGATCTGCTCGCTGGGCTGTGTGACTCTCCATCATGCATACAACTGAAAAACACACATTTGCCACCAAGTGGTTAAACCACAGAGCCTAGGACTTGCAGATCAGAAGGTCGGCGGTTCGAATCCCCGCAATGGGGTGAGCTCCCGTTGCTCTACCCCAGCTCCTGCCAACCTAGCAATTCGAAAGCATGTCAAAGTGCAAGTAGATAAATAGGTACTGCTCCGGTGGGAAGGGAAACAGCGTTTCCATGCGCTGCTCTGGTTCTCCAGAAGCAGCTTAGTCATGCTGGCCACATGACCTGGAAGCTGTACGCCGGCTCCCTTGGCCAATAAAGTGAGATGAGCGCTGCAACCCCAGAGTCGGCCACGACTGGACCTAATGGTCAGGGGTCCCTTTACCTTTACCTTAAGGTGTGAAGTAACCCTAAAGCAGAGGCAGTAATTTAAGGGCATGGCACTCTGTACCATGCTGGTCAGGGGTCACCGGAAATCTCTGCACATTGTCAATCCAAGGGGGTTAAGGAAGTGTAAAGCAGTTTGCAGGCTCAAATGAAACCCTGGAGGGCAGGTGAGTTTGAGATCAGCGGACACTCCTCAATCCCAAGCCCCACAACCCTGATGATAGCCCAGAGAAGAAAATCGGAGACTGTACTCAGCTGTGAAGCTCACTGGGTGGCCTTGACCCAGTCAAGGCATCTCCGTTTAACCTACCTGAAAGGGTTGTTGGGAGGATAAAATGTAAGGGAATAAAACTGTGAGCACCACCTTGGGCTCCTTGGAGGAGACAAGTCAAAGAAAAGAAAAGAAATGAAATAAATTCAGCATCCACGCCCCCTTTTGCAGTCTTCTTAGCAGCTAAAAGGTGAGACGCAAGTGGCTGCTGGCTTCTTCCTTCCCATCCTCTCCGGAGATGAAGCCGCGTCGCGGAGCTTCGCCTTGTCCAAAACTAGGTGGCAGTGGCTGCTCAGTTTTTATGAATGAAGCGGCTTCGGGCTGGGGGTGGGGAGGCGACTTGCGCGTGAGGCTGCTCCCCCCATTCTTGCTCCGTCGCCGGCTGGAGGGGGGAGGGGTGTGTGGCGAAGGAGGGAGGCGAGGCGGCCCCTCCCCCTCGTATTAGCATAAGGGCGGGGGAGGTTTACATGTCATTCTGCACGTTGCCTTTCAGCGATCCAGGCGCTTAACCAACCGGCCTTGGCAGCCGCCCAGCGAGTCAGCTGCTTCCGAGCGGCGAAGGAGGCTGGGCTGGGCTGAGCGCGGAGCCCCGGCGCCGGTTTTAAGGTGTCCCCGCACCCGGGCCAGCCGCGTCATGGCACGGAGGGACCCCGGCCCAAAGAGGCCGCCGTGGGGCAAGGGTGCACCGGCAGCCCAGCCCACAGCCCAGGACGGACATTTTTTAATATAAAATTAAAAATAGCAAAAGTACAGTATCTCTCTCTAACGCCCCCCTCATTTCTGTATTTTCTCATCACAACCTAGCAGGATTCTGCTTCCTTCTTGTGTGAAATCCTGCTCTTTGGGGGGTGGGGGAGAAAAGAAAAGAAGCGAAGCAGTGATCTCTCTACAACATCAACCTGTCAGCGTGATGATTGAATATTTTCAGCAAGGGCTGCGAATCTGTCTTGCCAGCCTTTGACTGATAAGCAATTATCACGTCCTCCTCCGCCTTTTTAGCAGCCTTGTGACAGCTGGAGATTCAACAGGTGAAGCTTTCCCCGAGCTGCAGAAAGCTATGAATGTTGAATGTCTGCCTGTTCCATGTCTGCTAAAGAAAGAGGAGGGCTTTCTGGGGCCAAAATGTGGCATCCTTATTCACCCCCACCATAGCAGCTCTGCAGAGTGTCCAGCCCAGCAGAAGGGGGAACCTGTGACCCTCCAGAGATTGGTGGACTGCAACTCCCAGCAGGACTGACAATTGGCCATGCTGGCTGGGACCGATGGGAGTTGGAGTCCCGCAACAGCCGGCAGGCCATAGGTTAGGCCTTCTCCCTTATATTGAGGGGCTTTTTAAAAAAATAAAAAAATGAGTGCAATGATCTTCACTAGGGATGAGGATCTCAGTTCCTCTTGTGGCTTTCAAGGATCTGTCACTGCCTTATGCCTGCTCTGGATCTGACCCTTCCTTTCACGAAGCGTTTGTGTGTAGTATCCTCTGCACAGACACATCTTCAGAATCACTTAACACTGATTAATTACCACTTAACATAAACTAGTCATTGTTTGGTACGTGCAGTTCATGGGCAGTTAAAGGATGGTTTCCCTTGCCTCTTCTTAAATGCACCTTTATGGATTTAGTGCATATTAGTGGCTGTGTGAGTAGGGAACCACCGCAAGTTTTTATGTATTTTAAAAATGCAGTTGATAACAGAGAGCTAGAAGAATCAGGAACTACAATAAAAACAAATAAGCTGCAATAGCAGGTGAATGACAAAAGCAAACCAAACACCTGGAGATGTTTGCTTGGAACTTACTTTCAAGTAAATACATAAAACCCTATCCCAGGCCTGGCAATGCCTATACTGCTTGGTCATATCTACCAAATGGAAGGTGGCAGGATCCCCAAGGACGTGTCTCTACAAGGAGCTGGTTTCAGGCACCAGACCTGTTGGCAGACCAATTCTGTGTTGCAAATATGTCTGCAAACACGACAGGAAGGCTGGCAACGTTAACCCCAGTGTGTGGGAATTGCCATGTGGGAATCCCTTGCAGATGACCATAGTACCTGGAGACAGGCAGGCAGGTTGTGTATCTACAGCAGCGGCAAGAGGAGGAATGACTGTTGGGAGGAGCACAGAGAGAATAAATGCTGTGAGAGCCAGCGTGGTGTGGTGGTTGAGAGCAGTAGACTCGCATCCCCACTCCTCCACATGCAGCTGCTGGGTGACCTTGGGCTAGTCACACTTCTCTGAAGTCTCTCAGCCTCATTCACCTCACAGAATGTGAGGGAGGAAGGGAAAGGAGATTGTTAGCCGCTTTGAGACTCCTTCGGGATATCAAATCCAAACTCGTCTTCTTCTATGGTGTATCTGCAACAGCACAAACGGATGCCTTCATCCGCCCCAGCTGCAGCAAAACATGTCTCTCTCTTATTGGTCTTTACAGCCACAGCAGGCGCTGTAACTCTTCAACAGTTTGACTTCGCTCCCAAAGGTGCACCCTTCCACTGTCTTTCAAGACAGGTGGATGCCAACCACATTGAAAGCCAAGAAAAAAGGACCCAATCCAGGGAGAGAGTTCTATTATCTTGGCACCACTGTCAAGGAAGCTCTGCCAAACATCCCAGTCAGCCAAATCTCTGAAGGCAGAATGACACACAGCAAGGCCTTCAGTGATGAATGCACTCAATAGGTAGACTTAGAGGACAGGAGACCGTCTTGCATGTGACCTGTTCCTATAGCTAGATGATCAGTTAATCAGGAACAATGGAGTGAAATAACTTACATGCACCCTGATTCCAGCATTATGAAAGAGCCTCTTCTGACAGTAGATTTGGGCTGCCACCCAACATGTTGATCATTTCAGTGATTATAATCCCACCTCTCTGCATCTGTGGGCACCATTTATTTAGGCACTCAGATGTCTAGCATATGCATGTGCACTGACCGATTAACCTTTATCTTTTTTGTGATTAAAAAAAACTCCAAAGGCTTCTAAAACTTTAAAGGGAATGAAGTATGTACATACAGCTGGCATTTGAAAAGAAGGGAATTTGTGGCATCACGTAACTCCTGTTGCAGTGGACAGGAGAGATCAGTCTTCCGACACCAAGCATGCCTCAGTCTTGAGACTAAAGCTGCTTCCAGATGCCTTGATTATTGAGCATTCATCCTGATTTTTTTTGTGGGGAGGTCAGGGGAGATTGCGTCAAGCAAATATTGTCCCACAATTTCCCCATACTGTTCCCTGTCACTTTCCTTATTGCAAGATGACTGGGGTTTTTTTGGGGGGGGGGGAGTGGGTTAGTAAAGTGGTACCTCAGGTTACAGATGCCTCAGGTTACAGATGCTTCAGGTTACAGACTCCACTAACCAAGAAATAGTACCTCAGGTTAAGAACTTTGCTTCAGGATGAGAACTGAAATCACAGGGCGGTGGCGCAGCAGCAATGGGAGGTCCCATTAGCTAAAGTGGTACTTCAGGTTAAGAACAGTATCAGGTTAAGAATGGACTTCCATAACGAATTAAGTTCTTAACCTGAGGTACCACTGTAGTGCAAGAAGTCCAAATCAACATTAACTGTGCGACTTGAATTTGTCCATATGTCATTAAATCCCACCTGAAAAGAGCAACAGTCTGAACAAGAAATGCCCTGATGTAACCATTCCACCATTAACAGAGTTTGGGGAGTGACCTTATTTATTGCTGCTAATAATTGATCTGGAATTTTAAACAAGTGCAAAAGTGCTTTACAATCTGTATTGTGTCTCTGCTCACTGTAACTGTTCCCCTTTTATGGATGGGGAGCTGAGGCCAAGAGATTTGCTCACTACCACAAAACAAACTCATGCCACAAAGTTTTCCTAGGTCCGCTCCATCTACTCCACCATGCTGGCTCTGGAAAGCTGATTTTCAAATTCTCCACTTTCGTTTGCTATGCTCTTAGTACTAAAATGGCCAGTTATCACCTTTCCCAACAAGCTGTAAATCTCCAGTCACTGGTTTCCCACTAATTCAGTTCACAGGGCCATGCAGGAGTAATAAAACCTGCACAGAAGACATCTGGCTGACTTGGCCGTTTTGCACTGGGCGTTTGGTTTTCCTTGTCTGCTGGGTGGTCCATGGCAGGAAGATTCTGCAGAGAACAAAGCTCCTGAAGCAGCAGCAGCAGCAGCAGCGAGCTTGTTTCTTGGTAGAACACTTTGTAGTTGAGATGCAGCATCCAGGCTTGTGCTGTGATGATGGCGGAAGAATGCTCTTGCTAAATATGGTGATTCTGTTTCAAGTGTCACTGGTAGGAGTCTTCCTGGGCTTGAAGGGCCCTAGCTCACTTGTAGAGCATCTGCTATCCAAGCAGAAGGCTCAATCGCTGGCATCCCAGGTAGGGCTGGGAAAAACACCTGTCTGACACCCTGGAGAATCACTTCCAGCCAGTGAAGACAACACTGAGCTATATGGTCTGACTCAGTGGAAGGGACCTTCTTATGTTGCTAACCCTTCTCAAGTGTGTTAGAACGAGTGATTCAAATACACAATTTCTGCCCTCTGAGGCATTTGTTTACAGGGCAGGTGAGGTAACCTATGTTCAAACCACATGTCCACCACACGTAGACTATTTGTGTCTACATCCTTGGAAGAAACCAGAGACTCTGATGCCCCCAGAGGGATTGCTCTCCTATTTATCCCTTTTTCACTTAGAGATCAGCAGCTCCCCATTTCCCAGCCTGGATTAAGAGATATCACAACAATCCTCCACAATGCTTTCTGAACACCACAAAAAAGACTCCCAGAAGACAAATCCATGTCTGCCTCACTCCCAGGCACTCAGAAATGTTCTTTCATGACACAGAGACAATGTTCCCAGAGAGCCTCTCAGACTTGCTGCGGTGCAAAACTAATCTTTTCCCAAGTGGTGGTGAAAGCAGTCAGTTGTGGCATGGGCAACCTCACGCTCTTCAGAAGTTCAGAGCAGAAAGGAAATGTGTAAAATCAACAATTGGCATTTTAGTTGCAAGGGCTGTTGCTGCAACCCGAATGGCCTTCCTTTAATCTTTTCTACAGCCCTCTAAAGAAAGTGAAAATGGTTGTTTCCATTTTCAAGATTGGAAGACTGAGGCTGCAAGGGAGTGACTTTCCTGTGACCACTTGGTGAGTTGGTGGCAGAGATGAGATTTAAACTGGAGTTTTCCTTATTTGCCGTTCAGTCTGTGCACTAGCTCACCTGCTTTTGCTGCCACTACAATGATATTCCCACATTGCAGCACTGTTTCCCTTAGGGGCAAATGCCATCTATTAACATCTGTAGAAAATTTATGTATGAACATATGTATGTAGTCAGGGACATTCCTGTGATGGTACTGGGACCACAGTTCTTTGTAGGAGCAGATTCTACCATTTCTCTTTACACTGTCTCATGTTGCCTATATGGTAACAAGCAGAGGACTGTCCTTCAAGTCAACTTGTAAATGGGCTTCTTAGGTGGGATGGGATACTTTTGGGCTAGGCTGGAACATAATTGATACTGACCCAATGGAAGCTTCTGTCCCTGGACAATACGTGTGTGTGTGTGTGTGTGTGTGTGTGTGTGTGTGTGTGTGAAGCCTTCCCCTGTGTTATGGTCCCAATCAACACCCTGCTTCCCTGCTGCCTATTTTGGGCAAAAGATGTCAGGAACTAGCAGCAACATCCACACCTAAACAGTACAGTGGTACCTCGGGTTACATATGCTTCAGGTTACATACGCTTCAGGTTACAGACTCCGCTAACCCAGAAATAGTACCTCGGGTTAAGAACTTTGCCTCAGGATGAGAACAGAAATCGTGCTCCAGTGGCACGGCAGCAGGAGGCCCTATTAGCTAAAGTGGTACCTCAGGTTAAGAACAGTTTCAGGTTAAGAACGGACCTCCAGAACGAATTAAGTACTTAACCCGAGGTACCACTGTACATTTAAATCACACGGCTCCCCGCAAAGAATCTTGGGGATTGTAGTTTATCCCTCAGAGACCTATGTAGTTTGGCCCAAAGTTTCCTTTTTGGAGGGATTTTATTTTAATGGAGGTGCATTCAGTGATGTGAAGCCCTGCCTAAAGTGAGTTCTCGCCACCTCAGCGAGAACTTGTAAGTTGTTTTGGGTCACTTTCGTGAGGAAAGTGGCTAATTCGTAACTCCTCCTCCTAAGTGCAGCTTTCAGCAGGTCTCTCCTCTCTTATTCATGTGTTGTTTTCAGTGTCAATTTCTTTAAAACTTGTGCAAGTTGGAATGACCATCTGATGAGACAGGCTAAATTCACAGTCTCTCGTTACCTCGGAAAGGGCGACTTCCGTGTGCCCTCTGCCAAAAGCCTGACAGACTCATGTGATCTGAGTGCCTTAGGACAGAGGGAACAGGGATGATGTCCCAGCAGGTAGAATTGTTGCTCAGAGCAAGAGCCAGATGGATATAAGGAGCCACCTTAAGAGAGAGAGAGGGGGGGGGGATTCCAGCAGACCATCCATATGACCAAAGAGACACTCACAGCAAAATGTTTCATCTACCATATTCCATAGCCAAGGCAACCTTAACAAAGAACATTTCCCTGCAGACTTTTCTGTGCTGCAGCTGGGTCTGAAGATTTTCTCCCTCCCTTCTCTCTTTTTATAATAATTATGTCATTATTCCACCCCCCTTTTCATTCAGAGAAAAGAGAGGAGAGGTGATGCCAATGCAAAAGAATGGGCATTTAAACAGAACTAGATTGAACAAGCAGTGTGTGCCCAGAACAAGAAGTCTTTTTACATTGCATATGAACTTATACATGGCTCCATTCAGCATATCCCCCCCGGTTTGAGCTCGACGCAGAGAATCAGGCATTCACAGCCCTGGGACTTACATCACTGACATTTCCACATTTTCATACTCAGCCTTCCCTGAGTTTTAGTTAAAAGAATCTAAAACACAGCTGTGAAAACATCAGCTGATTTGTTACAGGCAAAGGATATTCCATTTTTAATTGTTTAAAATTTGATTATCGTTGAATATTCCTAGGACACGGGTATATATGATATGTATGCATGCATGTGCATTTTCCAGAACAATCTGGCTTTGTTGCCACCACCTCACAGCTCGCTCGCTCTCCCTCTGAATGAAAAAAATGGAAAGCAATTATGGCATTCTTAGGAAGCCAACCCTTCATTGCACTGATGGTTGTCGAAAGACGTGCACCAGATCTGTGTCCATCTGTATCACCTGTGTGTGTGATATCTACCTGTGTGTACCCCAAATAGCCGCTGTCCTACTCCATAAGTTCATATCCCATTAAAGATTCTGCAAAAGCATGAGGGACATTACAGTGGTACCTCGGGTTACATACGCTTCAGGTTACAGACTCCGCTAACCCAGAAATAGTACCTTAGGTTAAGAACTTTGCTTCAGGATGAGAACAGAAATCGTGCTCCAGTGGCGCGGCGGCAGCAGGAGGCCCCATTAGCTAAAGTGGTGCTTCAGGTTAAGAACAGTTTCAGGTTAAGAACGGACCTCCGGAACAAATTAAGTACTTAACCCGAGGTACCACTGTATTGTGAAGCCCCTAATGCAATTAGATTAGAGGACAAGATCCTTCTTAAGCATGAAGCCAAGCGGGTGCAGTCAGATGAATTCACGTTGCTCCGGATAGCAGGACTAGAACAAATGGGAGGACACTGCAGGGAAATGGGATTTGGCTAAATATTAAGAGAACATTCCTAACAGTAGAAACTGAGTACCTTGGGAAGTGAGGGCTCTCCTTCCCTGAAGCATTTGAGCAGAAACTGGGCAGTCTTCTGTTAGGGATGCTGTCGTTTCATTCTAGATCCTGCACTGAACAGGAGTTTGGACTAGATGGTCTCCGGTGTACCTCCCAGATGTGTGATAGAAATCAATCTCGAGGCAAAGCACATCAGACAAAAACAAAAATATGTATGAGGAACGGAAAGGCACAACAGTGTCACAGTATGGAGAGAAAACTTAACACCGATCACTCCCGCTTGCAACCAAACTTCAGCCTGCCAAGGTAGCAAGCCGCAGCTCCTGGCACTGTTCTGCCTTACATTGCAAATCAAGAATTGCTTTGTTGCAAAGTTCTGCTTCTTTTTCAAAGTAGCCACTTCAGGTGACAATTCTGGGAGCCCTCTATGTAGCAACAGAGAGCTGGAGAAATATTAATTACGGTAGGCTTCTTGAAGAGGAAAAGGGATTCTCCCACAATTAGCATGCGAAGTGAATTAGCATTCTTTCCATTAGAAGCAAAGGGTTGTCTTAAACCAATCTTCTTGTCCCCATCCATGCCAGGCAAAACCACATTCTTTCATCCAGGAAGCCTAAGATTATACAAGATTAGGTTTTTCTTGATCTCCCTTTCCATACTGATTGAATTGTTCCCCCTCGCGCTTTCCACCAAATCCTGTTTCATGACATCACAGGCGGTTCCCATGGAAATAAGGATAAGGTCATTATTTATTTATTGTAGGTTAATAATAATAATAATAATAATAATAATAATAATAATGCAGCCCTTCAATTGCATCCCCAGTTTACAAAAAAGAATAAAACAATTCATGTGTAAATGCAAACAAAACATAAAATGAAAAGGCCACACAATCACAAAAGCAGCAAAGAACAGCCAGCAAGGTTAAAATCATATCTGAAAAGCTTGGGAAATAAAAAGGCATTTTCCTGGAACCAAAGTCTCCTCACTGATTTCAACAGGTCTTAAAAGTGCTTACTGTTGTTGCTTAGATTAACAACCTTTAGATATTACTGCTAGTGTTAATGCTTAAGCAAAGCCCCCCCCCATACAGTCCTTTCCTGTTATTGTAATCTGTAGCCTAGACTATATACATGCTGTTACCAAATACCTTGAATGCCCCACCTGCATTAGATCAATGACAGCATCATAGATGGGTGATTCTCCCAGGATGAATGGAGGCAACTTGTCCCAGAAGTCCCTTTGTCTAGTCTAGGGGCAAGGAACCTCAGTTCCAGGGGTGAAATGTCTGCGTGACCCTCAGGACTTTGCCCAGGCCACACCCCTCCTCAGGCTCAAGGTTACATATTTGCTCCACCCACTTTTTGTTGGTGGCAAAGGAAAAAATAGGTATATAGAGGATGAATTCCTGGAAGCTATGATCCAAGTTTGGGGCAAGCACCCCCACAGAACCACAAAATATGCAGTAAAGTGTGGAAATATAGGCTGTTAGATCTTTAAATGTGCCCTTGTGGGTTCCGAAAGCTCCTCTCTTTCCCTGGCATAGAAAAAGAGCACACGTTTGGTAAGTTTAAAAAATGGTTTACTTACAAACTCTCCAAAGGTCAGATTCATGTGCTTTTCCATACAGCATTCAGAAAAGTTGCACAAGCAGTAAAACTTGGTTTAGTTGCAAAGTGGTGATAGTTCCTAAAATTATTGGTATAGGAACTCAAGAACCATTTGGTCTGAGCCTGGAGCTGAACGTCTAAAGTGAACTGGAGGGGAGCAAAAGCTTGATCGCCTAGTCCTTTCTAAGGTGAGCTAAGCCTGGCAGCACAGCTTACTCTATGGTCTTAACCCCATCATGCATTAATTAGACTGAAGCAGGTTGGTTATATGAGGCTAGCTATCCCACACTTTTTGCCTCTGGTCCTGCCCACCCTGGCATGTGCCCTCTTCCCCCAGGAGTTGCCTATGAGGGAATGCAGCTCATGGGCAGCCCATGTCCTTGTTCCAGCCCTTTCCTTGTCCTCCTAACTTTTAGGGGATGTGTGTTGTCCTCTTTTTTCAATTTCTGTGAATGATGAACACAAGCCCACAGGCAGAAATATCCCTGCCATCTTCACCTTAAAGGGTTCATCCAATGCCTGTCTATGTCCCCTCTCATACAATTGTGTGCTTTTGGAGAGATTTCCAGGATCACATATTTAGAACTCAGCCCCAGAGAAAGACAGAGCAGCTGCTGCAGTTTTACCACTGACAAACCTGTCTCAATTTCTGAAGAAAAAGAATCTCCCTTCTCAGATACACATTTGCAGCTCAGCAGGGTTTAACTTTTTTGTGCCATTTCTCCCCTAATCAACCCTCAACCTGCCCCATGAGCACTGGCGGGGTGGTATAACTTTGCTATCCCAGCCTGGAATCTTGATTAGCGAAAGTTTAGAAGGACTGGGAAGCCTAATTTTTAGAAGTTTTATCTTCTAGGCCAGTGCTTTCCAAACTGCATCCAGGAAAACTTTATCAGGGGCTTCTTCTTAAGAAGACTGGTAAAGGTAAAGGACCCCTGACAGTTAAGTCCAGTCGCAGACGACTCTGGGGTTGTGGAGCTCATCTCGCTTTTAAAGGCCGAGGGAGCTGGCGTTTGTCCGCAGACAGTTTTTCCGGGTCATGTGGCCGGCATGACTAAGCCGCTTCTGGCGCAACGGAACACTGAAACCAGAGTAATAGCAGATAAACTTCACTGCAAGACTGTGTGGCCAATGCTTACCACCTTCCTCTGCAATTTTGCTGTAACAAGAAAATATTGGGCATGATAAATGAGGATATGGTCTTATTTCACATGGAAATAGATGTGAAATGGAAATAGATATAGCTGAATAGATATAGCTTGAGCTCAGTGTGAACTCTTGCACATGCCCCCAATTTTTTAAAAAAGTGCACAGGGGTTCCTTGATGGACAGGTCAATATGGAATGGGTTCCCTGAAGGTAGGAAGTCATAAAACTAGCCTCCAATTTTCCAAATCAAACTGACAGTGCAACATAAGGCATGACGGAACATAGGATGCCAGTACAGTGGTACCTCGGGTTACAGACGCTTCAGGTTACAGATGCTTCAGGTTACAGACTCCACTAACCCAGAAACAGTACCTCGGGTTAAGAACTTTGCTTCAGGATGAGAACAGAAAGCGTGCGACGGCGGCACGGCGGCAGCAGGAGGCCCCATTAGCTAAAGTGGTGCTTCAGGTTAAGAACAGTTTCAGGTTAAGAACGGACCTCCGGAACGAATTAAGTACTTAACCTGAGGTACCACTGTAATCATATGGTCACACTGGTGCCCTGAATCTCTGAGCAGTGAGAGGTTTCAGGGGTTCAGCACTACTTGGGTTTGGTTTCTTTTCAAATAAGGTCCTTGGGGGTTTAGTGGTGTTTTGCAACATTTTTATTTATTATCAGGCTGTGCATTGTTGGAGGTACAGTACAGCATAAATTATTCCAACAGCAAGTCTCCTCTTGCCACATCGGGTCCTCCAGGACAACAGTCAGCATCTCCAATATTCTTTTTATAGAGCCAAAACTCAGGTCCCTTATTCTCTTCCATATCTGACTCAGTCTGCCTCAAAACTGCCAGCCTGTTCTCCAGAGATACTGCTTACAGCAGGGGTCAGCAAGCCTTTTCAGCCGTGGGCTGGTCCACCGTCCCTCAGACCTTGTGGGGGGCCGGACTATATTTTGAAAAATAATAATAATGAACGAATCCCTATGCCCCACAAATAACTCAGTGATGCATTTTAAATAAAAGGACACATTCTACTCATGTAAAAACACGCCGATTCCCGGACCATCCGCAGGCTGGATTGAGAAGGCGACTGGGCCGCATCTGGCCCCTGGGCCTTAGGTTGCCTACCCCTGGTTTATAGCATCCCCAACTGGGAAGGAAAAGGCATAACCCTTTTCATATATTACCTCAGTCATTCCTAAGGCCAGCTGTTGAGAGCCATTGGCCTAGTATCCAGAATAGAGGCCTCATATATTAGGCCTGGGCCTTCTCTTGTACAGCTATGATCTGATGCTCTTGCATCTTTGAGCCAGTGTGCATCACCAGATTTTTATATTTTTGCTAGAAGTAGAAACTGGCGATTACATTTTTTCAACATATATTAGTCTTGGTTTCCTTGTGAAGATGGAAATACATTGCCTTGTTCTGAGCCATTATCAAAAACAATAAGAGAATCTTAGTATATATAAAATATACAGAGGCACATTGTTTTTTGTCCATCTGTAAAAATCATGATTTCTCCGAAAGGCTAACTAGTCTCCTTGGCAAAAGCATTTTCCAGTACAGCGTAATTGCAATATAGATTCTTGAATTTTGTCAGGTCCACGAGCTGAAAATATTTAGCTGGGCATTCTCCAAGCTATTTGTATTTCCTTGTACATTCAAGTAAAAACCTCATGGCTGGTGATATCTTAGTGTTACTAATATGAAAAAAAGTCTTTGCAGCATCTTTGCTATTAAAAAGCTATTCTTTTGCCACAATAAGCCAAAGCATTTTGAACATCAGAAACATTCCAGGATTTATTTTTTTTTACTGTAATGGATGTTTAGTTCCTCCTTGGTTTGTTGCTTAGAATATGGAATGTTGCTCTCTTTGAAGTCAGTGGACCAGCACTGATTTGCACATGATAAAGATCTGGCCCCCAAATCTGTACCCATCTAGGGTAACTGAGCTAGGTTAAACCAATCTAGGATTGTGAATATGAAGATCCTACATTTTAGAAAGCTCATTTCTCAAATGATTGCACCAGAATTTGGATACATGCAAAGGTGTATCTAGGCCCCCTTATCGCCCTTGGCAAGGAGCTGTATTGGCGCCTCTGAAGTTGGGGGACCAGAAACTCAGAAAGCTTGCTTTTGGTTGACTTTTGCACTCCACCAGTTTCTTCCTCTGCAACCATCAGGTTTGGGTCTGCTCTGTTCCGCCTCCCCTCTTCCTCTGCTGGTCTCCCTGCCTGCCTGGTTCAGCTCACTGCTTTCGCTTCTGCCTACTTCCTCCCTCCCTTCCACCCCCCCCCCCCACTGGAACTCTTGCCAACTCTTTCCCTCTTTCTTCCCTCCAAGCCCTGCTGGGTGCTCAGCTCACACTTTTAATAGCATCGCTGGCCAGCTGAGGAGGGGGCCCTGCAGGGCTGCTGCGATAGCCCATGCCAGCAACCAGATTCCTCCACCGAGGTGCCCAGATGAGCCTGCTCAGTTCGCCCGGCCACCCAAAGCACTGGAGGAGTGGCCTGGGGAGCATACGGGCAGGTGGGTGGGTTCCTAGCCACTCTAAGCCAGAGGTGTGATTTTTGGGCCGCCGCCCCCTGCCTGTGCCCTTGGCTGGGGCCAACTCCTAGGTATACCTTTGGATATGTTACGGTTTACTAACACTAGTCTCTCCCCCGCCCCCAAATTTTGCTAACTTTGTATGCCCAAAGCATGTTCCCATCTCTGTAGCCTCCCGCACCTTAGCACTAAGGAACCAGGAAGAAGATTATTTGTGGCATTTCCTTCCTTTACTTGCCTTCTTCCTCAGATATCAAGTCAGTGGTTCTAGGGTAGATAGCTATACAGAGTTTAGTGTCAGTTTTCAGGCTTTTACAGCAGTGTTTAATCATTCACCACAATACAAAGAGTTGCATTTATTCTTGCTTTTGTCTTCACAGATGGGGTTTTGGTCCTGGTCATATTGGGGGAACTCATTGCCCCAAAGGAATGTAAAATTTCTAATACTTCCACAACGAATTTACTGGAGGAAGGGGGAACTACTTCTATGCAAGAAGCAATAATTCCAGAGGGGACACTCTGGAGATAAAGTTCAGACCTAAGTCTTTATACCTTCACATGTGGGTGGATGGTATTCTGTTATATTCCAGTGTCTTGGTGTACAAGGGAACAGCTTGAAAAGAGAAAATGAAATCAGAGCATCAACTTGGCTTACACTGGAGTCCATTGAATTCAAGACTAACTTTTGCTCCAGACCTTTTGTGTGACTTGGAACAAGCTCTTAAGTATCCATCTTCCTTGGCTCTCCATTCTGTTAATAAAGAAAATATTCATGTAGGTGAATGAGGAAAGTTATGGTAGAAGACTGAGGTCCAACATACACATCCCTTTGGTTTCCTAAGGAGGCTTCCATAAATGCTGTACTTCCATAAAGTTTTCCATATTAAAGTGCTCTACCAAAAAAGAAAAGAAAAAAGAAATTAAGTGTATGACATAATCTGTTGTGTATATAGCAGATTCATTCTCATGGCATGGAGATACAGCAGTTCTATGGATGCACAAGGTGTACTCTAGGATCTATGCAAAGCCATGGCAGACTACTGTTATCTGCAGGCTCATCTTTTCTGGTGGGAAGTGGCTATCGAACCATATGCACAAAGAATTATTCAGCACTCGGCTACAAAGCCCTTCAGTGGGCTGAAATACAGCTCAACAAAATGTGGCTTGAGTCTGAGCACGCAGGCTGCTTCACTAGGAAGACAGCAGAGATCGGGTATATGAGAGATATCAGGCTAGATAGAAAATAATTATCCACTTTTTCCAATGGACAGTGCATTGGTCCATAGTCTGCTTCAACAATGGGAACCTGTGGCCCTTCAGATACTAAACTACGTTCCCACAATCCCTGATTGACCACCCTAGATGGGGTTGATGGGAACTAAAGTCCAACAACATCTGGAGGACCACAGAATCTCCATCCCTAGTCTACAGTACAGACAAGTATAGATTTGTAACAATACATAAATGGCCTTTTTGATTGGTGAAGCAAGTAAACGTTATCTGAGAGTTCACCAGGTGAACTGGTCTTCTGGGTCATGTAGATCTTTGTAGGCTCACTCACTACCAAGGCTACTGCCAACTCTCAGACAACCAGATTACCATTTGCAAATTCAAACTGGGTTGACTTCTTCCTTTGGCTCATTTTTTTATATATATATAAAAGATCAAAAGTACTCCATGTGATTCAACACCCCCCACCCCAAACTTCCCAGCAATGCTCAGTCATCTGGTGATGCTTCTAGGTCTAAAACTATTTTTTGAGATCTAGACGCACGAGTCATGAGCCATAATAACTGGCCTTCTTCCATCTGCTCCATTTGGTATCAATTTGTGCCTGGAAAAGAGCATTTCCAGCTCCCAGCTGTGCATGCCTGCCTGCCAGGGCAGTTCTGATTAGATTTGCAGCTGTGCTTAACTTTCCTCTGCTTGCATTAGACTCTTGTTCTAGGGCTGAAGGGAAAGGGGGAGGGTGCAAAGATACAAAGGCCTGTAAGGGAGGAGCAATTCCTAATGGGAGGAGTGCGCTTTATCTTAACCACTATTATTTCCCTCTTGGGAGTATTATTTCTATGTCATTCTTCTCATCTCGTCTTTGCTAATTGCTAGCTGGGGATAGATAGCTTTGTTGGGAACCCTTCTTCACACCAACAATGATTCTTTGCTCATCTAGACATTAGGTTGTTGTCCAGAACTTTGTAACACTGCAGAAAAGCCTGATTTATCAGCCTTCGCATTATAATATTGGGCTTCTCCTGGTCCTTGGAATATGGCAGATATTTCATCACATTCCTGGATTGTTTTTGGTTACACACTGAGATATATGAAATGTCAAGTAATTGTTTTTAACAGAGAAGCTGAATATAACGCTAGGTCCTTATAAATCAGCTATTGTAGGAAATACAGACTTTCTTGCACAGTCATGAGAAGTAGTAATACAGAGGTTTGGAATTACTTCGGAGGGAAATCTCAGCAAGAAGATAGCAGATTGAAGAAAAACAAAAGTGGACAGTTCTGCTGCTAGTTTAAAGTGATTCAGGGACTGGCAAGGCACACTATAATAGCTTCTTAGTTAGCCACCACTGTTATAGTTAACATAATATAGTCCTCCTTGTTGGGTAGACTTCTTGTTTGAAGGAAGGATGCTGCTGATTGGTGAGACCTTATTCAGGCAACCAACAGGAATCAATATTTGACTATTTTGGCTTCACATAATCTCTCATTCATCCAGTTTGAGCCTTCATCCAGCCTTTGAGTGCACCATGAACCTGTTGCTGGCACACAATGATTTGACATCAGAGTCAGCTGAAGGCAATTGGAAGAGGTAAGTTAATTTCCCATTTGGTAACTCTGAAAGGTAATGGTAGATCCCTAACAATGGACTGTAGGGTAACCATTGCTCCATGTTACTCTGCTATTGCTGTGTCTCATGTAAAATTATATTGTGTATGTGTGAAGGACACCAAGAGAGGTTGTATTGTCATATTAGTCCCATGAAATACAGAAGTTTTAATTAGGTAAAATGGAAAGGCCTCTAAATGTCTTGTCTGAATACTTGATGTAGTTTAGAATACAGCTACTAGGCTGCCAGCTGGGACTAGCCCTAGGAATCATATACCAGTTTTGAAACAGCACTAGCGGCTGATGAATTTACTGTAAGTGGGTGGCAACTGCAGAGGGCTTTTTCATCTGTGTCTCTGCAGCTGAGAAAAGCTCTTCCCAAGGAGGCTCAACTGGTTCCTACTCATTTCTTTTTGTGCCAGATTAAGATCTTTGCATTATCACAGGCCTTTAAAAACACTGCTTTGAGTTGTTTTGGCAAACTCTGCCAACTCTGGTATGCTATGGTTCTTGTTTGTTACTGATTTAATGGGTTTTTAAAAACTTACATCAGTTTTATGCTTGCACTTGCTGTCCTGGGAATGTGCAGCTAATATACCTATTCTTGATATTTATCATTACTTTTTACATGATTGCAGAACTGACAAGACACGTCTTGATCCCATTTATAATGGATTTCTGTATGAATAGCCACAGTCCAAGTGACTGCCAAATTTTATCTTAAGGTAAGGCAACGAAGGTCTGAATCAGCAGCTTCCTTTTCATTTTTGCATGATGAGTTTTGTACGATTCAGAGGTCTGAGTATGTAAGTCAGAGAGAAAGATGAAGGCAATACCATCCTCTCAGCTAAATGCAGCACTGGGCTGTGCACCAGCAGCACGACTGGGATTTCCCTTTTTCAGTACTGCCAACAAACATCTACCCACCTTCTAAGAGCTGGCACATGCCTTGGTAACTGCTCTGGAGGGGACCATAGGAAGCTGATTATTGGTCCTTCTAGTATAGATATGGGGAACCTTTGGCCCTCCAGATGTTGCTGAACAAGCATGGCCAAGGATGATGGAAGGTGTAGTTCTGCAACATCTGGAGGGCCAAAGGTTTCCCACCCCGGGTATTCATCGTTATTGTTAACAATGACTGGCAACAGCTCTCCTCTCCAGAGTTTCAGTCAGGACACTTTCCATGCCCTCAACAACGATGAATTTGCAGTATCCTTCCTTAAGCTTATAGAGATATCACTAGCAATCCAGAGAATGGGAGTGAATAGCAGAGAATTAAGTCTGCCTGCTTAAAAATAAGAGTACAATGCACTCTTAAAACTTACTAACACCACTTTTACTGGACACTTTTGGAAGACATAGTATGGGGCCAGAAAATGGACAGTTGGTCTGACCAAATATTAATCCTTAATTAATTGTTATAAAACCATTAATATCCTGACTTTTGGCCCTAAAAAGAGTAACTCCCAATGCAACTTTCACTTATAATTAAAATATTGACCAATACGGCCATCAAAAACAAACAGAACACATTTACAATGATCAATGTAGCAGAGAAAAATTCAGCACAACTCAAATACGTAGTAAAATAAAATGGTTTTGACAGAATGTCTAAGTCATAATCTGGCTTTGCTTGCTCTTTCCACAGAATTTCAAATTGTTAAACTATGAGATGTTTTCTAGAAGTTACCTTGTGCTCCTTTTAAATAGTTGTTATGAATGCAGATTGTATTGACACATCCTGGGAAGAAAGAAAGGACACACACGCACAAACATTTGATTAACCCTAAGTCAACATTATGATCCAAGAATCTGATTTTGCTTTTGCAATAAATTCAGGAAATAAACAATTTTATCGAATCCACTGATATCAAGAAAAAATGAACCATCACAAGCAAAATCAGGAATTTGTCCCAAAGATCAGGGTCACAGCAGGACAGCTCAGCACATTTCCAGGAAATGGCTGGTATAGAGATTAGTACCTTAGCAGCAGTGAGCTGCAGATATAATGGGAATGGGGGGGTTAGAGATCTGGTGCTGTATTTCAGAAGATTATAATTAAAGATTGCAAGGGCAGGTCCAAGGCTTTTCACCACAAATCTCTGCCCCCGCTGAGCTCTGAAATTTCTTATAGGTTTTACAAGCCAGACAAAAGTTATGTGATTCTGGTGGCACTTTCCTAATCTCCCTTGCTGTCCACCCTCACAAGTGGAGAAGCATTTAGCAATAAGGAATAAATTTTAGTTCCTGGACATGCTAAAACCACAGACTCTTGGAGAAATGCATACATGTCTCCTTTCAAACTGAGCCACTATTTATTCCTCAAGACCAAGAGACACTTTCCACACAGTAAAGCAGCTCCTTGTGATCTTTTCAGCTTCCTTGCAGCAGCTTGCTCTGTCCCGCCCCCCACTGTATTAATGAAATTATGTCAGCTTGGGAAGTAGGACTTTTACATGTACTGTAACCATTACCTCTCTTTCCCTCTTCACCATTTCCCCACATAACTGTTTATCAGTTGCACTGCATCTCATTTCCACAGCTGCCGTTGCCTTGAGCTATACACAGGTGGATGTGTGCTTTTCCTACATGCTCAAAAAATGATTCCACCCAAATGATGTTTACACTTGATTTTAGCCAAAAGGCCAAGAAGCCAAAATAATTTTTACGAGCGAATGCATTATTCCTGATTAGAATTACATCATTCTAATATGGGAATCACATGGTTGCCATATGAGATGATGAAAGGCTAATCAGCAAGGATGTTTCCCTTTAACCTTTCTTTTGGAGATATATTGGGAGAGCACACAAACACACACCACAAAGTGTTGACACCTCTGAAACAGAGGTGTAGTGAAAACGACTTGCTGAAGGAAGGGCCACTTCACACTTACTGCATTGTCTATACTGAAAGCACTTGTATATAAAAAGTGTACATTTATCACTGTGAATAAGCACTGGGGAGCTGAGGACACAATTATGTCCCCCTGGTGCTTATTCCCCAGTGTTTAAGAATACGTGCCTGCTAGTCTTACTTTATTCCCCAAACACAACTGTGTCAAGTGTGAAGTGGCTGAGGCAGGACTTGACCTGCAGTATATAGTGGTATACTATGTATATATGTGTTGACATAACCTGGTACAAGAGCAGCTCTTGGCTTATTTTATCTGGTGACTGGTCAGAGGGCAATAGACTGGCATATTACACGGAGTCATTCTGTGCCATAAATTTCTTGGAAAGCAAAACTAGAACTGATGCGGGAGATCCTAAACAAGAACTCTGGAGCTTTTTAAAACGGGCAACCACAGTGGGAGTGAGGATCACAGGAGGGGAGAATGGGGCCTGCATGCTTTGCCAATAGCACCATGGTGGGGATTTCAAGAAGGCAAAGCACAAGGTTTAGCTATACTTCCGCAGGTGCCATGGTTACAGCCCAAATAGTGCGCCCCCCTTCCCTATGGCCGTTATTCGCATTAAACACACACACACACACACACACACACACACACACACATATATTGGCTCTCCAGCAGCCAGTGTGTTCATTGTTCCACACCCCATAATCTAGCCCCTGCCTATACAGGCCAAGATGCCTCGTCCCCGATACCCTGTTCTGGAAAAAGTTCATACTCTACCCAGCGCCCTGTTCCTTCGCTTCCAGACAGCGCGCGCGCACAGCCGCGGGGTCACCTCCCGAAGCCTGACAGACGGGGAGCGACGGGAGATTCATCCCAGATCTCTCGACTGCTTGGCGCGGTCTGTTTCTTAGGAGCACAGCGGGTGTGTTGGAAGCCCGCCCGCCCCCCCCGTAGCTGTCAACTTTTCCCTTTTCTTGCGAGGAATCCTATTCGGAATAAGGGAATTTCCCTTAAAAAAAGGGAAACGTTGACAGCTATGCGCCCCCCCCCCCCATCTATGGTGTGTTTCTTTGACGAGCTAATGGCAACATGTGCAGTTGGGGAGATGAAGGAACAAAAATACGGTCTCTGAGTGCGCGCGCGCAGGTTCTCTGGACGAGTTGCCACAGGTACCAGAGACCGGGGGGGGGGGGCAAGCGTGATAACAAAGGCATGTTTCGCCTGCGCCCCCAACTCCTTCTCCTCGCTCATTATAATGTAGGAGAAACCGGGCAGAAACGTGTTTCACAACACGAGCGCCACAAAACGTCTATATGCCAAACGAAACGAAATCCCGCAGGAGACCTCCTCGCAAGCCGGCGTTATCTTTCCGGCATGGGCGGGAGCGCCTTCGCCACCTGCCTCCTGACACACACACACTCTCTCTCTCAACCCACCGCCCCCTTCCCCCCGCCCGCCGCCTTTGTAAATCCGGCTCGCGCGAAGCTAGCGGCACCTTTCCCAGAGCAGCTGCTTCCCGCGCGCGCGCGCCCGGCCCCTCCTCTTCCCGCCCACCTGGGAGACGGACAGACTCCCTCTCTCCTCGCCTCCGCCGGCTGCTGGTGCGGACTCGCGACTCTGCACGTAGCGAATGGAGGCGGGCTCCTCCTCCTCCTCCGGCGCGCATGGAAACTGCTGCGCCGCGTGTGGCGGATCCCCCCGCCTTTCTATCCCCCCTATTCAGTTTCCGACGCACCATCAAGGGCTGCGTGTGAGACCGCGAGCAGGCGGGGCCCTTCCTCCGTCTCCTCCTGCCACATACGCGCCGGCTGCGCCTTTGCTCTTTCTGTTCTTTGGCGATGCCTCGAAGGGTTTAATCTTCGCTGCCTGCCGAGGGAGGGGAGTTTGGAGGTCATTTCACTTTCCTCTCCTTCAGAGGTTCAGTGCCCGCCATGAAGGACTCCGGGTGGGTTGGTCGAGGTCAAGCACAGACCAGCACAAAGGACCGGCCGTTTATTTCTAAGGCAAGGCGTTGCCTTATATTTTAGAGTGAATTGTTCGTTTAACACAGATCAATTAGCCTTTTGGCATATCCACACCTACAATTAACTGTCTCGCCCCCCCCCCGAAAATCCCGGGAACTGTAGTTCGTGAAGGGTGCTGAGTATTGTTGCTCTGTGGGGGACAAACTATAGTTCCCAAGACCTCACGCCACACATTTATTGATTATACAGCAGGGTTTGTTTGACAGGGTGGCAGAGATTGATCCTTCCTTACAGTCAGTGCTGTTGGAATGGCTTTCTGTTCTGTGGTTGGGAAGCACCTAACCAGGGGTGCCAACTTGAATAAAATATTGGGGGGGGGGGAGGTAAGCCCTTCCCTACATAATCAATCACATTACATGGCACACACACAACATTTGAATGGCAATGTCCAACTTTACTCCCGTATCCATTTATCTGGGTGTAAGTTCTATTGAACTTAATGGGACTTACTTCTGATTAGACAGGTACAGAATTGAACTATAATTGTACAAAGGCTTGTGAAAGTTCCCTCCCCAAATCACAAACTCTTCTTGAACCCCCCCGCAAGTGCATTGTTAAATACTCTTGAAGTACTGAATACCTGCCATAGGGATGAATGTGAAGTGGACTGGAACTTCTTATCACAGGGGTAGTGTTTTTATTACTGATCATTTCTATAAAACAAGGAAGCATCTTGTGGCACCTTAAAGACTAAGAAATGGATTATGATTCATGATATGATTCATGAGATACATATTATAATTTTTATAGGACTTATTGGTGTACCTGGGGTACTCAAAAAGGCTATACTGAAAACGGACAGACATTTCTCTGGGAAATGGTTTTGCAATGACATTAAATGAATATACTGTGCAGAATGATTCTGGTTATAGCATGCCTTCAGTTTGTGGGAACTAGAAAGTCTTCTTACCAGAGTTACCTAATTTTAAAATATGTTATTTTAGCATATGACATCAGCATAGAATTTCATACACTGCATAGACTGCAGCTGCACAATAATACATATTCTTAAGATTTATGATTAGGCAAATGTAGAATGGACTCTCTCTCTCTCTCTCTCTCTCTCACACACACACACACACACACACACACACAAAAAGCCACCTGACACCAGAGAGTATTAGGTCTACTTCAAAAACAAAATAATAATGAGAAATACCTTGATGACTCATTCAGTGGCATATTCTTTGTACTAGAAATATTTATGGCAAGCTACTTAGTAACCAAACTTATGTAGAATAAATGAGGTGAGGAAGGGGCAACTTACAGCTCAGTGATAGTTTGGTATGGATGGTGCACAGCTTTCTGTTAGCATTCCTGATAGTCACAGCTTCCCATGGGTAAAGAGATGTCTGAATAAGTCATGGCAAGAATGCTGATGTGGGGGCATTATGGTGCTGTGGTAGTATGTTGGTTTTTGTTTTAGCCAAACTTGTCTTCATAGCCATGTCCCTGCTCCACACCCTCTTTCATATCTGGCTTGGCAACCAGAGTACCAGGTGATGCCTCTCAGAAGGTTAGATTTGGTCTAGTCTACCAGTTGGTGCACCCTTGATATGCTAGACAGCTATCACCTGATCATTAAGACGGCGTGAAACAACACAGTGAATACAATGCCCAGCTCTATCTTTCCTTGCCATTGGTATCAGAAAAGGCAGTGCAGGTCCTGTACTGTATGATAGTAAGGTAGCCTGGCTTCATTTCCTCCTGTTCTTAGAGAAAGAATGCTAAAATGTGATGGGGAAAGGCGAAAGAACTGATTCGAACAATTTTTTTCCAGGAGAAAAAAAGGAAAGGAAAGAAAATGATCTCTGAAGTTAAAAAAGGTGTTTGAGTTTTTTGCTGAACTGGGGCAAATTGCTGGTGTGACCCGTGCCATCTGAGATGGGGGTGAAGACCTCTCTAGGGAACTCCTGATGTTTCCCTCTTTGAAACACTTGATACCTGGTGTGATCCGATCTGTTCCAAAAAGAAAATGTTTCCGCTCTGAAAAATCTTTATGAGCTCACGGATTTGTCCTTTCCAGCAAGGCAGTCTTCATAATAGCCAGGAAAAGCTAAGGCACAGGGAATTCCACTGGAGTCAAGGGGGTAAACCTCAGCCTCCCCGTTCAGTAAAACAATGGAATGCATGTGTCTCGTGACACCACCATTCTGATCCTGGACTATATCGGTCATATATTTAACTGAATGTCTTACATTGTTAATCAGAAACATACAATTTTGCAGACCCAGTGGTGCATCATTATGGTCAGATGTTCTAGGGCAAGACATAATTTACACACAGATACAAACATTTACGGACTTTGTGGTGATGGAATAGCAGGGCTGCTGTACCTGATTGTATTGCTGCCTTTTCCTCTTCATAAAACATGTTTGTACCTATGCATTTCTAACATATGCAGCTGGGTCCAAACTATCCTATCAAATTAGTAAATATATAGCTTGGCATGTCACAAATTTTGTTACTGTAGTTCTGGGCAAAGTGAACCGATGTTTCAGCCCAATCTGAAACAGGTTCACTTGGAAGTAATTTTGATAGAACTTCCAAGTAAGTATGTTTATTTTTTTAAAAATAATATTTATTGAGAATTTTAAGGTTACAAAGAAACAAAGAGAGAAAAAAAGGAAAAAACAAGTAGCATTTAAACAATACGAATCAATAAAAAAACAAGGTCAAAAAACAAAACAAAACACATAATACATCAAAATCAAAAAGCAAAAATAGACAAAAAATTTAAAAACAAATCCAATATTCCCAAATCATTAACTGTCATTACCTTGTTTCATCGACCTCCTCACACCTCCCTTTTTTGTATTCTAGTTGTTAATTATCTCAGCAAATCCTTTCCATCTTTCATAATATTCTGTCATTAAATTACCTTAATCTATTTTAACCTTATCTTACCATAAAAGGCCCTAAAGCTTAAAACTTAAATCTAATTTATACCAAATTCTCTTAACCATTGACATATTCTTACATAATTCTTTTTAACATTTCTGCTAAAGCCAAATAATTTCATTCCAACATTTTTCTAATACTCTTTACTTTTACAAGATTTTCCTAAATAATTTGTTTAAAACTTTCTTCCAATCTTCATCCAACGTCTCTTTCTCCTGGTCTCGGGTTTTGTCAGTCCTTTCTATCCCATCCATCTAGTCCATCAACCTGGTAACCTTATATCCGAGGCCCTTGGATCTCTTCCATGTCCCATCCGCAGATCTTCTTCATATTTATACCTGTGCTTTACTTTGTCTTCTGGTCCTTTCACTCGGGGAGACTCCAGCTTGACAATGTTTTTGTCCCTTCTCGACAGATCAGCCCCTTTTCCAAAGTCAACACTAAACTCCATGTGATATTGAAAAGCATGTTTCAAAGTCCCTCCAAAGTTAAGGGCCCGCACAACTCCGAACGCCTCCCGGCCCAAAGCCAAACTTGAAAGGTCAAAACATCCCTGCATAGGGGGGTCTATCCAGCCCCCCATCTCCAAGCCAAACAGAACTCTGTCTCTCCAAATCTGGCTTTCTCCAGGTTCATTCGTCAAGTCCAACAACTCATGTTCCTGCTGGGCCACAGTTCCCTCCATCTCTGCCTCACTAGGTCCAGCAACGACCTCCTCCCTCGTCTGATCTGTCAAAGCACACTCCTGAGGTAATTCCTGAGTGGGTTCTAAATAAGTACCCACTGCCTGTCCAAACTTTCCAATCCCAACAGTCATCAAATCCATCTTCTCATGTAACTGTTCCAATAAGGCACTTGTCTTACAAAAGGCCAACACCAGAGCCTCCGAGTACATTCTTGTTGAAGGTCAGAGTCTGTTCCCACGATCTTAATCTATTGCAGCTGCAAAGCTCCCCAGTTCGAATTTAATAACAGTTTCACAAGCTCCCTCTAGGGGAAAAAGCTTCTATTTGTAACCATCTCTCTCTCTCTCTCTCTTTTTTTTAAAAGCAAATCTAACAACAAAGTTTCCTTTTTCAGATATTTTGTCAATATTTTGTTCCTTTTAGATGCGAAGGGGAACAATGGAATCAATATGTTTCTCTTCTTTTAACTATCTGTCAAAAACGTTTGTCTATAGTCAATGAACTTCCCGAAGACGTCTGTCCTGACACCCCGCTCCCAGGTTCAGGACGGTGGAGAATTGCTTTTCTTTACTTGTCTTCTGCAAGTTTAATCAGTCCAGAAAGAATTCCCCCCTCTTCTCCTGCTTCCAAGGGGGGTTCAGTAATTTTAAATGATGAAAATTGATCCTTTACAAACGATTTTCTAAGCTCTAGCTTGCCGTGTCTTTGCTTCAATCTATTTACAAAAAGCGGAAGGCAGACTTCCTGTTTATACCTTTCCGCTTCAGTGCCAAATTAAAGGAAATTTCTTATTCCAATTTTCCGTTCTACTCACGGACAGTTATTTAAGCTCCAATTGTCCACAGGAAAAAGTCAGTGCTCTCCGGCAACAGCAATGCGGCTTCACTCCGTGAAAGAAGCAGTCGATTCAAGGCACCGCGCCACTCACCCCACGTCGCTCCGGAACCCCGAGATCGGGTTTCCCCGCGAGTAGGGGGGGCGCAAAGGTACCGGCCGAATCCCACGTCCACAGGCTTCTCCCGCCTGTGGTTTTTGATGAGTCTCCGCCTCGCCGTGGCGGTTCAGACCCTGTTTTCCACGGAGCGGATTCCTCCCGATCGGAGGAAATCCGCCATTACCAGAGGCGCCAACCCGGAAGTCCCAAGTACCGTATTTTTCGCTCTATAACACGCACCCGACCATAACATGCATGTAGTTTTTAAAGGAGGAAAATCTGTAGGCATGCCACCCGTAGGCATTTCCTCCATAACACGCACAGACATTTCCCCTTACTTTCTAGGAGGAAAAAAGTGAGTGTTATGGTGCAAAAAATACGGTAAGTATGTTTAGATGGTCAGCCTCTGGCCTTCCCAGGCTGTCACTTTCCAGATAAACGCTTAACATTCATATAGCACACTTCAGGCTGGGTTAATGTGTGGCACACCTACTATGCCATGACTATGAGAGAATAATGTCTGTAGCTGAGGTTTGATCTAGCGACTTCCTGGCTCACAGCTCACTCACTCCATTAACCACTATATGACACCAGCTTTCATTGTACACTCTGTGAGCAGATGGGAGTGTGGTGTGGTGGGGAACCCATGATGATCATCAACGACAATGCCTCCCCCCTTGTAGCAAGGCTTTGCCATTTTGTGAACTTTAAATGCCTATCTATGGTTCTTCAATTCTACTGTCTGAAAACAAAATAAAAAAGTGGTGCAAAAGCTGTCCCTACAACAAGACTCTTCCTCCCACTGGAAGCAAGGCTAACCACAAAGCTTAATAAGAGCCCTGCTGGATCAAGCCAATGGTCCATCTACTCCAGCATCCTGTTCTCACAGTGGCCAATTGGATGCCTGGATAGCTCAGTTGGTTAGAGCATGGTGCTGATAATGCCAAGGTTGCAGGTTTGATCCCCATATAGGGCAGCTGCATATTCCTGCACTGCAGGGAGTTGGACCAGATGATGGGGTCCCTTCCAACACTATGATTTTATGATATAGAGCAAAAAAGATGAAGTATGGGAAACTTGTAAGCAGGGCAACAGCACCCTTCCCAATCCTTTGCATTGTACATGACAAGCAATAAACCCCCCCATTTTTTAGCACCAGGAAAAGCCTGCCAGTATTGCACGTGGGATGTATTATTTGCACCCAGTAAGGTCTCTTGTTTCCTACTATTTCTGAATTCTGTAGCACATGTTAAGCTTTAGCAATATACACCTATTTTTAAAAGGATGCACAAAAGGCATTGCAGAGAGATACTTTGCTTTCATTCGCTGTTTTCATTTCTTCCGAATCCTCTGAGAATCAGCCTGTATGGCTCTGTGATCCAAGGTCTTCTGGCAAGCTTGGACAAGAGATGAAGGAAGGAAGAGGAAAACGCCACACTGCAGATTGTGAGCAGCAGCGTAGGCACTCAGACACAGCATTAGATTATTTACTCTTAACAACCTGCAAGGGAACAATCTGCATGAGACTGCAATGGTATCAGCCCTCAGTGGCCAATGAGGTACCAGAGAAATGTGGAGTGATCACAGACAAAGCCAGGAGAAGGAGGAGGAGTGCCCTAAAGCCCTGACCGAATTCTGGCAGCCCCAGACACACTGTTAGACTGCCCGTGGGAGGTGCTGTGAATGTGCAGAAAATTTGGCTACATAATATCCTGTAAGTGGACGATTTAACTAATACACAAATGACTTTATGGCCCTGAGAATGAGCAGATTTATCATGATCTTGACAGCTTCGGGGCAATAATGTGCTGCTCTGAGACAGAGGAAGATCGAGAAAAGTTGCACTAGCTCAGTGCCTAGGAAATGGAATTGGACTTAGCTGTTGATCTTACTAATGCCTTGTTCCCACTCAGTCCCACTCAGACCCTGACTGTGATGTGCACAGTGTTGGTGCACCCAAGTCATGGATTTTTCAGACAGGCAAGCCCCGCCCCACATAATGAATCACAAGATGTGGTGCACACACACCATTTGGCTGGCAATGCCCACCAACTTGGGGTGGTGGTGGTCCTGGCCCCCTTAAGTATTTTATTGGGGTGGGCCAAAGGGACCCCAGCCTCTAGTAAAATGGTATGCAACCATTCTGTTGGTGAGAGGTGAACACCCCTTCCACAGTGTGAACTGAATAGCTGCTGGATCACTTCCACCTAATCCAGTATCTCTAGCCATGGCCAGACAGATGACACTATCCCAAGCAGGGCACCATGGCAATAGCTGTTCCCTGTTGTTTGCTCCTAGATTGTAACAAGTGGGATTTGCGGGGCGGGGCGGGGCGGGAGGGACAAGCTGCTGTGTAATATATTCCTGTTCAGGGTTCCAACCAGACAACCAATCCACCACCAACCAAACCTTTTGCTGGAGACCACAGGAAGGAAGAGTTCTAGTGTGCTCGGATCCTGATTGGGGCTGTCTGGCAGGCATCTGGTTGGCCACTGTGAGAAAAGGCTGCTAGACTAGACGGCTATTAGCTTGATCCAGCAGCACCTTCTAATATTTCAGTGGTACCTCGGGTTACAGATTCTTCAGGTTACAGAATCCGCTAACTCAGAAATAGTTGGGTTAAGAACTTTGCTTCAGGATGAGAACAGAAATTGCGTGGCAGCAGCGGAAGGCCCCATTAGCTAAAGTGGTACCTCAGGTTAAGAACAGTTTCAGGTTAAGAACAGACCTCCAGAATGAATTAAGTTCTTAACCCGAGGTACCACTGTATTATGTTATGTTCATACCATCTTCCAGGATACTGCAGACCTGTGGATTCCCTTCAACTTGCTGATAACTCCTTCTTGTGCATTGATAGGTTGGGCTATATAAAGATCTGTGATTGGCAAACGGAGCTGGCTATTAGCATATAGGATAAAAGGTAATGCTGTAGCTCAGTGGTAGAACTTGACCTTCTTTCCATGAAAAAGTCCCCAGGTCTTAGCTAGGTCTTAGCTACTTGAATTGGAAAAAGGCCTTTTGCCCCAGAGCCTGTGGGGAGCTGCAGCTAAGCAGAATAGGCAGTACAGGGTCAGCCCATGGCCTGATGTGCTAAAAGGTAGTGTTGACAAGTAATCACTGCTGTAGTGCATGTGGAAGTCCCACTCTTAGGTATCTTAGCAAATCATTGTCCATAGATCTTTTCTCCATGTGTACACCTAACCCTTTAAAAAACAATGCCACCTAGTGGCAATTATCACAATGAAGACACACCTCTTTGCTCTGGCTTCTGACCCAGAGACATATATTTATAGGACCTGGCTTATTTATGTGATTGTAAGTGGTTTTAAACTGTTTTTAGCATTGTGTTTTAATTGTTGTAACCCACAGTGGGATCTTAGGATGAAGGATAGTAACTAATTATAATTAATTATCATCAACATCTTGTGATCATGAGATCCATCCATGGTCAGGGAACCCAAACCAGTGGTGCAGCTACCTGCTCGGGCGCCCGGGGAAGTGTGCATATGGGGGCAGGGCTAGTCACCACGGGGATTGGGCTAGCTGCCATGGGGCGGGGCGAGCTGCCCACCAGGTGGGATGGGGTGCGCAGGGCAGGGGCCAGCCACCTCCCCCTTAGCTGGAGGGGGGCCGCAGCCAGGAGGGAGGCAGCGTTTGGGGTGCCCTGCAGGCCGCGCTCCACATGTGTCCCGCACTGCATTTTCAGGCAGCGCTGGGCCTGTCCGCTAGAGGGCGCCCTGCAGCCCCAGTGCCACCCGTGGCTCCTCACTCCCTTCCTCTGCTACTGACCCAAACATTTGGAAGGGAGCATGAGGTTCTTGAGTCTCTCTCACTGAGAATTAAAGTACATCTTGCAACCCACAGCAGATGAAAGCTGTTCAGTGTAGGGAATCCCCTGTGGGGGGACCTCATTGTGTTGGGAGAGGAGAACACAACATGCTTGCCTTAGTGCTTTAGTTCCTCTGCATTCAGGACAATGTGCAGACTCAGGGGGCTTGATCCGCATGCTGAGTGCTGCTTTATCAGAGGCAAGGTTTCCCGCATGGAAAGTACTTCCGAGTAGGAAATGGCAGTTTAGTAGCCCATTTTTGAAGTTTGTCATTGAAAATTTGCACTTTGAACAGGCATTTTGTAGACCATTATTTCTGAATGAAAACGTTTTGAGGACAGGATGTTGCCCATATTAATATTTGCTGCCTGTGCTCTTCACAATCACCTCAGGGAGGCTGGAATTACAACATGTTAGCTGACAACAACCAGAGATGCTAAATCTGGCACTGTGCTTTGTTTTTCACATATACTCAGCAAGCTGAGGCACATACCCAGTTCGGAGCCAGAAGGTATGGAGTGGGCAGGCAGCGGCTACATTGCAAAATCAACGAGAAGGATCGGTAGCACTTCTGCATCACATTCCAGTTTAGACTTTCTTCATTGAGTGTGCATGTTGTTACTACAAGAGAGTGAGAAGGATGGTGAAAACATATAATGAATGCGCACCATTATGATTTTTGTGTCAAATCACGTATTTATCCATTTGCAGATGTTGTCTTGACTTGTGTATCTCTTGGTTCTTGGAGAGGTAGCAGTTTCACTTTTGTTGTTGTTGTTATTCCATTCATGAACAGGCAGCTCTTGAAGAATGAGGAGAGAGGCCACTGTCACAAAGGCCCAGTTTTCTGGACATTTTTAATCTGGGGTTTTTAATGTAGAAGTATCACTATTTTGAAGAAAAAAATCTAGGCTCTTTTTGTAAGGTTGTATTTAATTCTCTTGATCCACTCTCTCTCCCAATTTTGAATTTTGGTGAAAATTCATTAAAAGCAATATTCTCTCAAAATGTAATGGAGCTGTATCTTCCAAGTTTTGGGGAAAAAAGCATAATCCTCGTACACATGCACATTTGGCTGAAAAATCATTAAAATACCACTCCAAACTGGAGGACACGTCCCCAACCTTGTTTCAGATTTATATTCTGTTATGTTTACATCTGAGGTGATGGTTAGCTGAAATTCTGCTGAAGAGCAATAATGTTCTCACATGTAAGGATAAAGGGAGAACATTTGCACCCTCAGAATTAGAAATTATTAATTCTAATAGTCAATTCCAGTTATAGACAACCGATAACCATGCAGCTTCAGTCAACAATGGAATGGTGTTCAGTGACATTTAATCACACCACTGCTCACACCATGTAGGTGCCAGCCAGCTTTATGATCTCATGCACGATTGCACAGGTCTAAAAGTTGAAATCTCACCGTATGATATTGAGATTCAGTATGCCACTACCACTTGCCTGTAAATGTGGGAATAGCCCCAGGCTGTTATCTCATGAGTGAACTTGATTGTTACAGAACTTTGTATATATGTATACGAAGTGGAAGATGTAGCCACAGCTCCACAAGAGGAAATGTTCAGCGATGGGTTGTAGGAGTGGTTGCTAGATCCTTGTTAGGAAGAAGCTGTTTCCACCTTAATTTCTATGACAGCTGCTTAGCTGTCATAAAAGGAAGACGGAAACACCAGTCAGTCTCCAACTTTCCTTTGATGGATGGCAAGGAGATTTACCTAAGCTTGTACATGACAGTTTACCAACCACATCATTTCACAATGTATCATAAATGTCTGTTTGACATAGATTGGGTTTGAGGCTATTGTTAGGAAGGGAACAGATCTGAAGTAATCAACAAGGTTCTTTGAAGATTTCTACAACCTGCTGGTGGTGGGTATTTTGATCACTATGCCAAGTGGGATTAACCATCAGGCTCCCTGAAAACTGAGACAAATTTATTACAGGGGCAGAAGGATTTTGTGCCCCTTATAGCAAAAGCCAAGTCCTGAAATACTTTTTGACTTTTACCACTGTCAATTTGCCTGATCATAGCCTGGTTTTTTTGTAGCCTATGAATCACTTTGGCAGGGCAAAATTCAGTCATGACTCTAAAAGAAAACAAAGTTACAATGTAAACTGCACGTATT